GCTCCGGTTCAGCAACAACAAGGATTACCTAACCGAAAACACGAAACCAAACCCGAAAAATGCCCGCTCTGAAAGCTCTGTTATGTCAGATCTTACCGGAGGATCAGCCGTTCTTCGGCTTCTTGGAGGGGGATACGATGTCCGGAAACGAGTGGGCGAGCTGTTTGGCCAGTTGATCAGGATCCTCGGCGAATGCATCAATGAAGAGACGAACGAGACGGCATTGATACTGGCTCGATCTCAAGCAGAACCATGTTAAAAACTTCAGTCTAAAGTCTGAGCTGATATGGCCTTCACGTTCGAGCTTTCTGATCATTCTGATGCAATGCTCCAAGTTCTCGTCTTCCCGGGGCTGGGAAAGGGGCAATGGCTGGCCGGAGAGATTGGTATTGGACTCGTGCCCATCGTCCTTCGAGTTCTCGGCCATGTTCTTGAGGAAATCGGTGGTGGTTACATTGCCAACTGTGATCTGAAATCCTTGATCTTCTTGATCGTTGGATGCTCCATTATTTTCGATTTCCTCGAGAAACTTACCCGGCTCGTTAACTTGTCCGCCCTTTGAAGATTCAGTAGGTGCCAGTACCATTTCCTTGTTCAGATCGGGAACTGTCACTATGTTCAGATCCAGGCTACGATCCTCGGACAGCAAATTCTGTCCTCCCGAGTTACTCGGCCTGTCCGTGACCTGTTCCTCCATATCCCCAGCCCTACATACCCTTTTGGAAGAGCTACCGATCATATCTCCAACAGCCTGACGGAACAACTTTGCAAGTTTACGAACCCGATCAGAATCGATCTCCGTCGCATTTTCCGGCTCCTTGCCCCTCACGGTATCCGTCTCGACACCCATATGGCTCTGACCGGTTTCAGCTAACTCAAAGCCTTTGGTAACACAAGCAGTCTCGGAGTGACCCCATTCTCCAGCCTCGCTATATGCAGCAACACAGAAAATGTACTCAGTCGAGGGCTGAAGACCGGTTATAGTAACTGTCTTTTGAGTCACGGGGATCACACGAGTCGGTTCCTCGGGACGTGTCTCTCCCCTTGTCTTGTAGTACCACAGTTTATAGCCCTTCAATCCATCCTGCGGCGCCATAGCAGGGATCAATCCAAACACAGTGATCCGAACCGAGGAGAAAGTCACCTCGTCGCACACAAAGTTACATCCGTGAGCTGCAAGAAACGAGGAATCGAGACAAAGATATCAGAATGCGGGTATGCATCGATAAAAAACAAAGACGATAATTTCAGATTCCGACCTCGAATCACTGGATCGGCACCAGATGGATGGGCCAGGAGTTCATCAGCCTTTCCAATGGCAAGAGAGCATGATTTTCTGATGTGCGCGGCTACCGACAGTCTCCCGACAAGGCCATGAAGTTTACTCGCCGACTCCATATCGGTAGGGCCGATCTCACTGTCGAGTTTCGCCTTTGCGTCTTTCACAATCTCATGCAGTTCTTTGAACTTCAATGTCCCGTCAAGAAGCCTGCAGCTCAAGTTGATCTTGTAAGCTAGTGTATCGAGCCGCCTCGAGGTTTTAGCTATAACCAGCTGCTTCTTCCAGAATCTGTGAGAAACCCACATGGAAAGAGACGCAACATCAAACCAGTTTCACCATTAAAGAATAAGATTATGAGGATCTTGTCTGAAAGAAAAAGAAAAAGAACAAGAACAAGAATCCATTAACAAAAAAAAAGAAAAAGAACAAGAAGGAAATCTTACTGGATGATTCCCGAAATCGTGCCGCAGAAACGACAACGGTAACCACCGTCGAGTTGCATCAATGGGCCGTGATAGATGACGCCGACCTCGTTCTTCTCCAAAGCGCATTCGACGTGGCAGGAAAGACCACATCTCTCGCTCTCGCTCTCACCAGACTGATTGCTGCACTCCAACCACTTGCTCGTGTCCTTGTTCTCGTCAAAAGTTCCGCAGATGCAACAAGAGCACCTTCTACAGAACTTATCGACTTCTGACTGAACCTTTCTGCAAGCAGCGTTCGCGCATACTCGTGGATTAGCGTCAGACGTGGGGCCCAAAGGCTGTTGTTCCCGAAGCGGTTTAGGGTTTTCGGGTTTCCTGCTTCGTTTCTTGTTCGAAGGCCTTTTGACGTCCGAAGGCTCGGGGTTTTCGCTGGTAGATCCGTGCGCGTTTATGGCTGTCTTCCTCGCCACCTTTTTAGTTTTCTTCGAACTGTCGGCCATTTTTCCTTCGAGAAAATCCGAGATTTTCGTTTGTGTATTGAGACAAGAATCTGAACTTGAGGAACTGCAAAGAACAACAAAACCTACGAAGTTGTGAAATACGATTCAAGAAATCAGATTAACCAAAAAACTATGAATTATTTTATTTAATTAACTAAACTTTCTACCAATTGTGCTGCTTGAAAGTTGAAACAATAGCTACTGTGGCATATAGCCTTGTAGGTTTATGAAAGACGTATAAGAAAGAAATCAATTACAAAATAATGTATAAACATGTTATTCCCCAAAAAAAATGTACAAATATGTTGACATTTGTGGGCGTGCGAAAGCATCATATTACACATATTCACATATATATGATGCATTTTTTATGCACATAATGTGAGATCATATATGAAAAAAGGTAGAATCACATGGTGAACATCAATGCATGGGAGACCATATATATATAACCTTTTTTTACACATGGAGAACATAGAACATACATGATGCACATCAAAGTCGGACTATGAATATGAATTATTTTTATACATGCATGATGCACATCAATACGAGATCAATATATGACCCGATTTTCATACATGGAGGACATAGAACATACATGATGCACATCAAGATCAGACTATGAATATGAATTATTTTTATACATGCATGATGCACATCAATACGAGATCAATGACCATTTTTTACACATGGAGAACATAGAACATACATGATGCACATCAAGGTCAGACTATGAATATAAATTATTTGTATACATGCATGATGCACATCAATACGAGATCAATATATGACCTGATTTTTATACATGGAGAGCATAGTACATGATACACATCAAGGTAAGACCATATATATGAACCAATTTTCACATATGGAGAACACGGAACATCACGATGATATCAATATAACACCATATATATAACCGTTTTCAATACATGGAGAACATATAACTTCATGATGCATATCAATATATATATATATATATATATATATGACACTATATATATGAACATTTCGATACATTGATGCATAAACCTCATGATACAAATCAATACCATACATATATATATATATACACGAATATTTTATATACATGGAAAGCATAGAATCTAATGGTTAGTAACTTAGTATAGCATCACCCAAGCCTTCACAACCACGCCAAAACTCAACACGTTTTTTTTTCATCGATTTTTTTTAAGCATATAAAATATATCATCGTATAACATAAACAACAAAATATAGTGATGATTATTTCAAAACTATATTAATCATCTTTCAAATCCAAACAATACTATTCACATCACATGAAATATCATGACCGATCATACGGATCTAACTTTTCAAACCGACAAATATTTCCAACGGAGAAACGATTACAGTTATAATCATTCTCCAACAAAGTAGTCAATCACAACTTAATGACTGCCATATAAAACAACAAACACCAAAGACATGCCTCCTTGGATCTAGATCTATAAACATGTGAGCAAATCTTTTACCGGTATCACATATGAAGAAAACAATAAAAGAATAAAAAGGAAAAATATGAAAAAAAAGAATAAGCATGATATTAATGAAAGATAACGAATGAAGTACATGTCGGCCTGCAAAGAAGCCGATGATTTTGAACATCGATAAACAATAGCTAACGTGCAACAAATCCTTTGCGATAAAGAAAAAGATTCGAGAATTATTGAAATACCTGGCGACAGAGAAAAACAACGAGGAGAAGGGTTCTCAGCGGCGGAGAGGTTAGAATAATGAATCAAGTATATCTTAGGGTGAACATATATATAGCACACGAAACCAGGCCTCGGATTAGGTTTGAACTTGACCGGATAAGCTCAACTTTAATCCATATAGTAGTTTTTTGAAAAATGAACCGGTATACACCGGTTCATATTTGCAGAAAAGGAAATCGATTAGGCCAACTAGATTCCGACTCTTCAACATAAGAAACACATGATTCATTTAACATATAACATGACTCGGCATTTTCATTTTAGGATAACCTTGCTCTTTCCATTTGTGCTATCCCTCCGAGATTTTGTATTAATGACAATTTAAAAGTTTGAATATTCCGAAGCAAAAAAAATTCTCATACTAAATAAAGATTTCTACGCGTGAAAATATATCTTTTGTACATGTAACAAAGCTATTTTTACCGAGTTTTTCGATATAGAGTAGGAGTAAAAGTGATGAACAAAACCAAATACAAAGTGAGAAGCAATAAGGATAAAACATACTTCTAAATCCAAATAACATAAATTATCTTTCATATGGATATAAAACGCTAGCAATTTAACATCTCTCACAAACTTTGTAAGAAATTATCAATGAACACAAAAAATAAGGTATATTGTTGAGAAAGAATCCACCTTTTATAAATCCATTCCCTAATAACTTAACTCAACAACAACATCACAGGACATTAGCATGAAAGTAGACAAAAAAGAAAGGTTGATAAAATGTTGACCAATACCATAGAAAACAAAGGAATTAATATGAGTAACATTTTGAAATAATGAAGAGCAATAGATTTCGCAATTTAACAATCTTGGTAAGGTATCCTTATGCTCGATCGGATTTTCCGATTTCACCAACAAAAGCCGACATCCAAACAGATGAGTTTTCAGAATGATTGAACCAAAGGAAAGAAACAATTGTAGGATCATCTATATCCCATATATAGTTCAATTCATAACAGACAAAACTTAAAAGTATTTCAAATGCATCATCCAAAACATCAAGTCCCAAGTGTGAGAACAAGGGGAATGTAATCGTGATTTTCAAAAGAATATTAGAATTAATTACAAAAGAAACTACAAAATTGTGTTCCATGCAAGAAACCGTCAACTTGGTAATAAAAATAACTTTGTTCCATAAAGTCTATCAACTTCATCACTTGAAGTAGATACAAAACGACAAAAGAAAAAAAAACGTCGACCAAAGCTAATTACGATTTTAACATTCGTTACATATTAGCTAAAAACGTAATGATAGTAGAGTTCATTGATACAAACAGCTGGGCAAGTACCTAAGAAAGCTCATTGTTCATAAATACAAAGCCGTTCTTACTCATGATTCTGACATAAGAACATAGAAATGGCCCGTGTCCTAAAGGCAATATGTATAAGCCAGATGAACTTGATTGTTGAAAACATCAAAATTCAGCAAAATAAGAGCAAAAAACCAGATCCCAACATGAAACATTTTCAAGTATATGGTAAAAAATGTAATGTATTTATCAACGCGAAATATAGCTGAAGAATAAGCCAAGGGCATTTATCGGTCACAGTTCATGAGAATTTTTATGTTATGACAAGAGATTGCAATAGTTCGAGAAAATCGCAAACTCAAGGTTGTCTTTCTTGGTGGAGAAAGACAGAAGATCTAATGTTATTTTTATCACATGCTAAATTGGGTGCGCTGACATGCGAGATTCTGATTCGAGGTACGAGAAAAGTCCTGCTTTTAGGGTTTACTTTCTGAATTTTATATTCCCATATATATATATTTCAACTTATTTGTTTTTTTTTTCCCGGGATACCATCCTTAAATTAAACCCTAGACCAACTATTAAACAAACAGAAAGATAAACAGACTATTCCAATTCCAAACAGTTTATTTTACTTGAATTTTCAAAATATGGGTTACTTTAACATTTTCAAAAGTCCGATACTCGTCCACCGGCAAGACGCGTGCGGGTTAAGCTATGGGACGATCCGACCTTCGGATTCGGATTCGACACGATTACCCTGTAGGACATATGGGTACTTGAGCCGCATGGGGTGTGGCAAGCGGTGAGGGAGCGAAGTGCGAAGGATGGAGCAAAGATTCGGAGGACGTGAGCAAGCAAGCACGAGCACGAGCACAATGCGCGAGGGCAAAATGGCGATTTCGGGTTCTATATAGTTAGGTATTTAGGGTTCTAACCCCTTGACTTCTGCCACCTCAAGTATGTTTCCTCGCCTCTTTTATCTCTTCGTCGAACCATCTCTCCGCCTCATGCTCCACGCCTTCACCACCGCATCAACTCGCAAATCAGCCACGTATATACACAGTTCGGGTACCCGATCAAAGCGAGTATCAAAGTGATGAATCTGAGAAACAGGGTTCAGGGTCGGGTACCCGAACCGTGCCAAGCCCTAGATCGTATCAGTTGTAGCAATCGGTTTCAAAGGAAAGTGATAGAGCCTATTGTCGGATACATTTAAGACGTGGTTTAGGTACATATTGCAAACCTTTTTTTTTCACCAGCAAGTAGAAAATAGTATTTCTACAAACTAATTTTGATAATCCACACACACCTTGTTACTTCTTCACCCGCAACGTTGAACTGTAGCTGTAGCCGGGTTTATAGATCTGCAATAGGATTGTACACGAATAAGACGGGTTTTAGTGAACAACGAAAACCAGACCCATGTATGAAACTGAAACATAGAGACAGTACCAGATGTCTTTGACCAAGATGTTTCTGTAGAGAAATACTGCATCAATGGTGCTAAAGAATGGGAATTGACTACAAAGATTTTGGGCCGCTTAACAAAAGCCATAAGGATGTTCCTTAAACGAAAATATCCAAAAACGGAGCAACAATCGATAGCAGTCAACATAATTTAGCATGGAAATGCAAGAAGGCAAAGTAAACTATTCCGAGGAAGAAAAAAATGCATCGTTAATGCTGCAAAAAGCATGAGAACAAGACGAATCATATCGCTAGAGAAATTCTTTACACCGCTTCTGATCTATACGCAGCTTTGAAGTGTGGATGACAACATGTAGGATATATACTATATATACTAGTAGGGTACGAAAGGACAAACAAACTATCGAACGGTATGCCTCATATCCAATGACTTGGTAAAACAAAACAGAACATTATATATATATATGTATATCCCATGAATATGTTCACAAGGAAGTGTAACAACCAAAGGCAGCCTGAAATGGGGGGAAGAAATCGAATAAGCATAACATAGAAAGTTTCTTATAAGAAGCTAAAGATCAATTTCATGGAACAGATTCGAGGGTTCACAGGAAAGGCCAAACTTTTCTAACTGATACGGAATCACACCAAAAAACAATATAGAGATGGATACTTACTAGGATTGCTTTTGGGGGGCAATAACCTAAAAAAACATTAACTTTAAAAATATCATATAAATACATAAATTTTAAAACTTCTACAAAACGCATAAAATTTGCAAATATTACCATAACTCACATGTGTTATGAGATATTTGCAAAAACTCAAGTAGATTTATGACAATATTTAGAAAGTTTATGTAGTTTGGTAGAAGTTTTAAAGTTTCTATATTCATATGGCTTTTTTTTTTAAAAAAACCTTGTTTTTAAGACTAATTTCCCAATAATATATATATACACATACATATCCAAATTCTATAAAGCATAGAACTTAATCATCAGAATCCATAATCTACAGTCTCCAACAGACTGGGTTTACTAACACCAATCGCCATACATAAGGAAGGGAGAAGTCCACAATTAAACAACAGACAACACCAACTAAGTTTCTAAAATTGAAGAACACATACTCCTATTCAGCAAAACATCAACACTTGGCCACCAGAACTCAAAAGAACCACATGATCTCCATCAAGGTAGGTCAAGAAACTTCAATCATTATCAAGAACAAAGGTATAAACCCTTTTCAAAAATCCAGACTCTCCAACAAATTAGGTCTACCAATTCCAGTCGAGAGCAAACACAGAAACCCTCAATTCAAAACCACGAAAGCCAACTTAATTCCCACGATTCTAGGTGGAAAACAGTTCCTTACCTTCTCAATTCATCAAGAAGACGCCCGTTTTCCTTCGCAATCAGGGCTCGAGTCGAAGTTCTTCGAAGGGTACTTCGCCGTCACCATACCAACTTCGAACACCAGATTATCGCCGGAGGATCGAATTCCGGTGATCGACCACCACTTAAACATAGCCCGGACCCGAATCCCTTGGAGCTCCGCGATCCGACCCTTCACGATCCGACCCGACACCTTCTTCGAGTAAGTCGCCAGATAGTTGTCCGGAGGGAGCGTGATCTTGCACGCGCCGCCGAAATCGATGGAGAACTCGCCGGATGTTTGATTCAAGCTATAATACTTGACCGAAGACGGTAGCAACCCCACCGGAAAACCATAGTTTGTGAGCTCGGCGTGCGCCGGAGTCGGCGCCTTCACGACCGGATCCGGATTCTGGATAGAGAGCGGAAAGAGTAGAAGGAGAGAAAGAAGGACAAGAGATTTTTCCATTCTCGGCTTCAATGGGAAGAAGAATAACGTGGAGGATCTTTCTCTCAGCTTTTTCGCCTTTTGTTTTTAGTTTCGATTTTTCTGACGGGTTGCTCTGTCAAGACGGAGACCTGTTGAAAAGAACAATATGACTTGGTTATATATTTTTTTTCATTTTTTAAATCCACTAAATTATTCGAAATTTTAACCGAAAAGTGCTTTGTATTCTAATCATATTTATCATTTTTAATCTAAACTAATTATAAAAAACAATTAACATTTTAATTCTATATAGCAGTTCATTATAATTTATAACTATGAAAAAACTAGTGTAAATGCATAACTAGGCAAAAAATTTCATAAAAATAACTACAAAAATCTCACATAAACTAGACCGGTTTATCTCAGTTTAATGCCTGAATTGTAAAACAAAAAAAAATTATATTTGAATGAACACAATGGAAAATCTGCTGGGTTATGATTTGCGATTTTTTTTTTTCACGTGAAGTTTTAGAAAATTGATGGAATTGTCTATTTAAATGGGTTGGGTCGTGTAAGTGGGCCTGGGCCCACTAAACGTTTTACCTTGGGGTGAGATAGTATCGAGCCCAGACGGGTTTTAGGCCTTGATAAGGCCTAGTTAAATTATAGCCTGATTAAGGCTTGTAAACCCGGTTAGACCTGGTCAAGCTTTATAGAGGCAATTTAGAGTCGGTTTGGGCTGATTAATCTCGGTTTGGTAAAATAAAATCCGGTTAAATGTGGGTATGCCTTAGGTTAATCTATGTCTGTTCTTGGCTATTTTTGTTAAGACACCGTCTTTGCAACATCATTTCTGTATTTATGCTCTTGAGTCCAAAGGGATGTTTTATCTTATATACATGTGATATAAAATAGACTAAAGCATAGAAAATTCGGTGGATAATTTTATTGATTATCACCGCACCATGACCATTAATCACATGCAACATAGTGGATAATATATGTTGAAAGAATATGAATAAATAAAATTACATGCGAAATTGCAAAGAAAATGTTAAAAATTTCAATGGAAGAGATAAGTGACAGCAAGGGCCACTAGGAGAAGAAAATAAGCTATCCCTTGGTCGATGGTTGTTCCTGCAATTAATTATAATATAATTAGTTCTTGCTTTTAATATTCCATGAACTGGAAAATTATATAGACAAAAAAAAAACAGATGAAAAAAAAATCCTAGCGAAATTACATTTCAAATTTTCAATTATAAAAAATCTCCATTTTTAGCATGAAAATTCGATTTTTTTTTAAATTTTCTCTGATAATTGTTTATCTTTCCAAAGAAAATCTGTTTATTATACATTTCCCTTTTTTTTTGGCTCCTCTCTTGCTATTCCTCTGCTTCTTTTTTTGTTTGATGAAATTCACTAACGTTTCTAACAATATATATATATATTTATATATATATATATATAAAAATCATGGAGAAGATGTGCTTACCATCACTAGAAGGAGGAGGAGCTGGGGAAGGAGACAAGATTTGTGCATTGCAGAGCTGCAACAACACCAAGAACATGAACCCTAGAATTTGAAAAGACGAAACTCTCTTCGAATTCATTGTTTTCATTTCCTCCGTAATTCTTTTTTTTTTTCCACGAAGATATTCAAAAGGGCAAATTTAAAAAAAAAACACTTAAATTCTTCTCTTTAAGATTTTTTTTTTTTTTTTTTTTTTTTGCGCTTCTGGGTTTGGGACCTTGACTATGATCGTGTGCGTATATATATGCGTGCGCGCGTGAACATACGCGCTCAGTTTGGGAGAAAGGGACAGCGCGAGTGACAGGTACGCGTGGTTGACGCGGTACTTTGTTGACTTTGAAGGCGGCTCGGTCTTGACCCGGAAACTTCTAAATTATTTTTCTTTTTTACTTTGAAATTTTGAAAACACATATCTATATATAATATATCAAAATATTTTTTTCTTTTGATTTGATTTTTATTTGTAATCTATTAAATTTAATTTTATAGGAAAATATTATTGTGCAGAATATGTATTTTACGTTAAACAAGATTTAGTTATTTAACTTTTGACAAAAAAGATTTAGTTATTTAGGGCAAAAAAATGTATAGCCAAAAATCGGATTAAAACTAATAAATCATCTAGAGAGAGTATCGACACATCAAATCTAATTAGAGTTGAAGAGAACAGAAAAAATAATGTATAGAAACAGTTACTTATTAATTATGATATTTTACGTCTGTGGTCAAGATTTTCCGTACGACGAAGTTTTTGGAAAATTAAAAAGAAAAACCAAAAAAGGCCAAAAAACAATCCTAATCTTCTGCGAAGCTTCCATCCATTAGCCAAAACCGGAAATGGAGAACCGAAATAAACCGGTCTCACCAAGCCGAGAAAATGAATAAAACCGAATTAAATCGAAAACAAAAGGATTCTGAACTCATATATATAGCCCAATAAAAAGTTGATATAATAAATTTTATTTCTTCTAAATTTTGTTTTACAATTATGTGACTGTTATTTTCAGGATACAAGACTGTTATATAGACAATATAGTTACATTTTATAACATGAAACTCTTTTAAAGTTTGTTTCATTTATTGGTAAGCCGACGCCCCCAAACGTAAGTAGCATGATGGTATCTGCACCTGAACGATCCCGGGTGACTCGTGGGTGAACATAGGCACCACTTTCTCGAACCCTTGTTACGGATTTCTTGAGTCGAATGGCCGATTCCTCGCACCATCGGGCATGACCAACGGCTCCTGTGACAAACCGAGGGCTGAAATACCGTATGACACATACCTTCCCCTTCTCCTTCTCCTCCTCCTCTTCCTTGGGTGATTTATGTTGTGGAGGAAGAGGAAGGAATCATTATGGTACGAAGAATTCTACAAAGAAGGGTGGTTAATAAGCAAAGTTTATCGGTATAAAGGGTTTTTCTCGGATTCTTTAGATTTCAAGATTCTGATTCTTGAAAATGCCCTCTTAACGAATGGAGAGGATTATTATGTAGCTAAAAAAGCAGGAAAAAGAATGGTACCGATTCTTTTTCCGAGGCTAAATCGGCTTTCGCGTGCTGAAAAATGCTGCACGAGATTCTTAGGATTGTATCCAAGGGAAGGGAAAGGAAGAATTTCGAAAAATGCCCACTACAATTATTGATTAGTTCATTTAAATATTTATATTAGACGATGAACCCAAACCGTTTAACGTGTCGAAATTTCTAAAAAGAATAAATAAAACCTTCAATTCACAAGCAACATTCATCTTATCGTACAAAATATCTTTTATAAAACAAAAAATTCGAACCCAAAATGAAAGCGCGACCGTTTATTCACATAAAATTTTCTTGAAAATGAACATTAACCCTTAACCGTCCCAAACCGCAATTTTTCCCCAAATTATCATTACTAATTTGCACTCTGTTATACACTAATTATATCATTAGAAAGTGATCCCCATGGTGTTGTTGACTCCCCCCCTCCTATTTTTAGTCTCCTGGGAATTTTCTATAAAGAGGTTGAAATGACCATTTTACCCTCCTTTCTTCACTCCCCCGGCTCGGGAAAAGAGAACCTCGTGCTCGTGCCCAATACTTCCCTATCTCTGTCCACCTTTTCTCTGCAACGCATTTTCCCGCCAAAACAAAAAAGCTGCATTTTTTTTCGTTTAACAGAAAATAAAAAATAAAAGATGCTTCTTACCACTCTCTCCTACGATTTTTCACTGCAAATCTCTGTTTTTTCACCGCGCAGAGAGAGAGGGAGAGAGAGAGAGAGAGAGAGAGATGAATAGCTCATCAAAGGTGATAATGGCGGCCACACTGGTGATGGTGGTGAGTCTCGCCATGGTTCTCGGCTTAGTCTTGGTACTATTAGCCGAACTCTACTGCTCTCTCTTGCTCCGCCGTCGTAGCCGCCGCCAAAGCAGCAGCAATCTCCCCACCACCGCCGCCGTCTCCGCCGCCTCCGGGAACCTTTCAACCGCCATTGAAATACCCAATCCTCTAAACAACGTTTACACCCAAGGCGTTCTTCAAACCCCGACAAGCATGTTCCAAACCAAAACCCATTTGTCTGAACGCCACCAAGTTCTCGATGAATCTGCCTCACAAGCTTCTCCTGATCTGATCCGAGAAATCCAGGTTCAGCCCATTGTTTCCAATTCCGATTCCGACAACCCCGCGACCTGCGTTTCAGGAGATCATTTCATTTACATATCGAACCCGATCTACTCCAACGACGGTACGAGTAAACCGGACACGCCATTTGAAACGCCCGAGTCGTCTCCGTCGCGGCTCGAGACCGGCGACTCGTCCTCTGGCGAAGATTCCGTTGTGGTAACTCCAGAGTTAACGCCGATGAAGGAACTTCCGGAGAAGGCTTGCTCTGTATCGTTGAGAGATGCGAGGTCTTTGGAAACCTCTGCGAGTGATTCCAATAGCAACAATGGCGGTTCGTTTTCTTCGTCCGGTTCACGGTGTACTTCTCCGTCGTGGTAGGGTTTATGATTTCAGGATTCTTTTTTTTAAAATAAAAAAATCCGTGGTGTATTTGGCTTTGGTTTTTGGAACTTGTCTGCTTTTGGGTTGCAGAGCTCGAACATGGCTCTTTGACCGAAGCCACGCCTGTAGCAGCAGAGTTCCATCTTGCGTCCTTTTCTGATTTTGTTTTTCTCCTTAATATATAAAATAATTAGTTTGGGTACTTTGCATCGTTTGGCAAAATAAGCGCATTAAATGTTAAACCTTATAGAATATATCCATTAAATAAGATAATATAAGAAGCATTACAATTTAAGAAAGTGGACAACCAAGATTCCTAGTTACTGCAAGGGCCACCTCGTGGTCTAACAAAAAAAAAGTGTATATCATAGGATGTTTCCAGGGTTAATACTTGTACGCTTCCGTCGCAAAATATTCACAGGATCTTCATTCGCATAACATTCAACGATTGACCCCTCTTCCTTTGTTTTATTTTTAATATTTTTCTTCAAACAACACACACAGTGTGGATATGAACTAACACACCCACCCAAGTCTCACCCAAAAAAAGCAATCAGGAGAAGCGGTCGCATACGGACACGTGTCAATTGCCAATCCTTCTGAAGATACCGATTCAAAGCAAAAAGTATTGACCATATTCACAACATAAACTTCGGAACAACGTATATATATGGTAAATTTTCTGAACAGAACATGATGCCGAACAATCTTTCGAAACACAGACGTGTAATAATAAACTTCTACTAATCACATACAACAATGCAAACAAATGTTGGAAACAGAACATCACACACAGGAAAAAAAATAAATCATAAGCTTGTATTAAAAATCGTAATTTGATGATGTTTGAAGTATTTACCTTCCTTTGAGAGCCGCAAATCGAGCAGCCAGATCGTCGTAGTCAGGTAACTTTGGATGAACATGTTTGGCTGAACTCGAGCGGTCGGACTGAAACGAGGCAGCTCGAGAAAATACCTTTCCCGATTCGGATGGCTCGGATTGTTTGTTGGGTAGGGAGAACGACCTCGTAGGCGGAGGAATCTCTGACATTGCATCGGATCCGCCTTGCTCGGGATGCGAAACTCTGCTGCTATTTGATTCCTCTTGCTGCATCCTCATCTCGTCGTAACTCGAAGGCTTCCGGCTGTAATGCATCAGGAGTTTGTCTATCATCATCTCCTCGTCGTCCTTCTCGTTGTCATCGTCATCAAACGAGGTTCGGAAGCCTTTGCCCGAGCGTTCCTTTCTTCGGCTCCTCATTCTTCTTTTCATGATTCTCGGATCTTCTGTGTCAGCAATTTCGTCATGGCTTGGAGTTTTATGGTGTCTTCTTCTGCTAGATCTTGGTTTGGGCAGAGCATTATCTTTCACATTATCGTGATCATTGGCTCTCTTGGGCGCAGAAACGGTCTTATCAACGTCGGGACGAGTTTCAACTTCAGCCATCTCTGTTATGTTCCTTGCTTTTCCATTAGGTTTAACGTATGGAGGCGGAAGACCATTGTTGAAGAACGGTTTTAGCCTCGCCGCTTCTTCTTCTCTAATGCTTCTCGTCAGCTTTGCATATTCAGATCCAGCGCCCAGATTGTTACCACTGAACCGATCTTTGTCTCCACTCTTTGAGTGATTTGTTACAGAAGTAATCTCTGGCTCTCCTGAGGGTACTGCATTTTCCCTGTTCTCCAAACCATTACCATTATGAATACTTTCTACCCTTTTAGAGGAGCTGCTTTGCTTCAGTGTTCTTGAGGCACAATCTTCGGATTTCTCAGACACATTCTCTGCACAAATCTCCTGTTTGTGTCCTTGGAAAAAGTTCTCTTGCTTGAAAGCGAAAGAAAGCTTTTCATCTTTTCCCGAGGGGCTGCTAGGCTTAGGCGTTCTTGAGGCAATATCCTCGGTTTTCTTAACATCATGATGCTCCTTACCAGTTTGATGTCCATTCCTTTGAAGCAAATTCTCACGTTTGACCTTCATAACTATAGTGTCTCCCTCGTTAAAAAGTGGTTCATGTCTTTCTCTGGAAGGTTTTAGCCTAGACTGATAACCAAATCCGTTCCTTTCCGCCTCATTGTCTTTGTTATCTGGTCTAGCTGAATGATGAACTTTTTCTGTCCTTTCTCTTGATGAAAGCCCATTATGATCTCCCCTACGGTCGTTCTGATAAAATTCTTTTGCAGGTTGAGAGAAAGGATCTGTTCTTTCTGATGCGTCAGCCTTCTTTCTATTCAAGCTATGCTCGTCCTTTACCCCTTCAGACCTTTGCTTGGATGAGAAATCATGCATTTCTCTTATCGGCGGAGCCTTGTTTTCATCTATAAATTTGTACTTGTCATTAGAAATGTTTGGAGGCACCTGAATTTTGTTAAGTTCCTGCATATCAACCGCCACAAAGCCAAAAACTAATAAATCCATGTCCATCAGAGAACTAAGAGAAAGCACAATTCAGGTATTAGCTCTAGCAATAAAAACAGGTTCAATTGAGTCAAGCATGAAGAACATATTGTTTGTAAGAGTATTTCTTTAGTTTTAGCTCAAAGACACTTTCTGCTAAAAGGAATGGTTCAATGAGGTACCTTTACAGTGGCATTATTATGCCTTGATATCATCCGCTCAAAAGCCTTAGAATCCCATGGAATGGAAAATTCTGATGCAACATCAGCCATTAACTTCACTTTCTTCTCCAGAGAAAATGGTTTCGTAGACAAACTCTCAACAAGCTATAACACAAATTGTCAGGTGATGAACGACGTATGTGGTACAAGATAGTTTACTGGTTAAATGAGCATAGAAGAAATTCTTACCTCTTGGTTGACAAACAATTCCAGTGACTCCCCATACTTTTCATGAAACATCTGCCTCAGATCACGCAGCTCAGGCAACTCAGAAAATGCAGAAGCTGCAAACATCAAGGATGATACAGCTTCCCGGCAATCTTCAGGACATTCCCTGTGGAGCAGACGAGGGTATGAACTTAATCTTTGTTTCCACCCGCAACAAAACAATATATCTTTTGATCAGTGTTTCCTATCCAGCCACATGACGCAATTACATACTAAAGAAATGAGCTACAGTACAAAGAGCAGGAAATAAGATTAATCCTTTCATGGAGCCACCTACCTGACAAATGTAAAAAATAAACAGACATTTAAGAAAATGTCCTCCATTTTCATATTTAATCTATTTATCAACTTGAATCCTCTTGATCATAAATCCAAGTAATTGCTTCAACTGAATCTTAATGCAATGATTCAGCTGAATCTGCACCCTGGACCATTCATCAACACCTCTTTTCCTCGATCTCAGAATTTTCTTTTTATTTTCTTATGTGGCCGCTCGGATGAACACTAAAAGCCAAAATTGTACTCCATCGATGCATGTTGTTCTTCGCCTAATCACTACTCTAGATAACTACAATGTCGCTTCGCTCAATTTCCAGTTTTCTTGCATCCGATGCGCATATCACGATGAAGCCAACGGAACCAAAGACAGAAGTGTGTCACGACTCACAATCAAAATTGCATAACAACATGAATTACACTCACCCGATCTTCTGCATAACTGAAAGATGTTTATAGACGAAGTCAGAAGACATCTCAACAAAATCAAGATTCCATAGATGCTTTAATTCATCAAGAAGTCCTCCAGCCTGTCCAAATGACCAACAATTTATTATCCCTCAAGAATTCAATCAAGTTACTTCGTATTTCAATTTGAAGAACAAAAATGGAAAAAACATCACTACAATGGGTGGTAACCTATCAAACTCAAGTATAACGGAGGCATTATTTGCAACATACCTACGAAATTGGATTCAAAGGATAAAATAGTGTCTGCACGGTGAGTACATGATTTTTTTCTTTATTTTTTCCATCATACAAACAGGAAAATCACTCGATCCCAGAAAAACTGGACCATTCAGAAAAATTCAAATTATAGAACATACAAAAACGCATATACAGCGATAAACTTACCCTGCCATATGCGTTGACGTCAAGACCATTTGCGAGCAGATCAGCTAAATCCTTCTTCAGAAACTTGATCGTCGCGGTTCTCTTCCTCCGAAGAACGTCGATCCGATTCTTCGTCAGCTTTATCAGCGATTTCCTACAGATACAATGACACCACTCACACAATGAAAGTGATGAATCCAGACAACGAACGAACAAAACGTAAGCAGACGTCGAATCAAATTGTCTGAAATAATGTATGGAAAAGAGAGAGAGATGGAACAAACCCCTTGGGGACAAAACCGCGGCCTAAGAGACCGTCGAGCATCTCCAATCTCTTGTACTTCTGCCGACAGCGAACGATTCCACTCAGTAACTCCAATACAAAACCAGATTTCAGTAAGGAAGAATGGCCAGAGCTTCCGAGCTTCAACGAGAAGACGAATACGAGAGAGAGAGAGAGAGAGAGAGAGAGAGAGAAGCGTTGTTGTTTTTAATCCATTAATGGACTTTTTTTTCAAAACCCCAGCGACCGCAGCTCAGCTGTTGCACATCATCACATGTAATGCTGAATGCTTTTTCTTTTTCTTTTATTTCGGTTTTTTATATTTCCGATAATGACCTCAGGCCTTCCTCATCAAACGACAACGGCCAGTTTGATTTGAACGTTACATAGGGGTATTATAGAACATTCATAGTTTTATTAGATGCGGACGAATCGGTGATTTGGAAAAGTGGGAACGAATCCTGACCGTCCGATGAGAATAACCCCTTTGTTAGTGGTAATGGGCTAATGGGTTAGTGGATCGTGAGTGGAGATATGATCCAGTGCACCGCACACACGTTAAGAATTTGAGTATTTTAGAGTCAACGAATTATAGCCGTCCGATGCGAATACTTTCTTCGTTAGTGGTAGTGGATTTAGTTGTGTTGAGTACATAGTAGAGATTGGGTACACCTGCACCACCAGCAATTCAACTAATTACCGGAGGTGGACAAATACCACTATCCGACCCGAATAAAATACAAATAAAACATAACCAAAATTTATTTCTATTTTCATTATAATTTTTTAAATCAAACAAAGAGAAAAGTTCCTCTGAATATTTTCAAAAATTATTTTCATGGATGTAATTGAATTAAATATCGTTGATGCGACTAAGATGATTATTCTAAGTTTACATGATCCTATCATCATATTCGTTGCTATGACCGAATATTTTACTAATGATGAATGGGATAGTATTTTTGAATTTTTATATTGTTTTTTACATACAAAAAACTCAACGTTCTTGTCTTATTTAAAATACTCAAATAGTCATTTTTATCTATTCAATGTTAAAGATCAAATATTACAATTTCTACTTGTATTTTAGTATTTATCTATGGATTTATTTTTTATTTTTACATTAAATTATTATAATAAAAATAAGTAGAGTAAAACACAAAAAATTAAAAAAAATAACAGCCATTAGTTAAAATGGAAAAAAAATTCCAATAATATTTTTAGTGTTTTTTGTTTATTTTTTATCCATCTATCTTTTTTCGTGGTCTCTATATTTTTAAAGCACATAAAAAATTCTTAAGAGGTTTATATTGTATCAATCTACCCTTGTGTGATTCCTGTTATACCAATACCAATTATGGGTAGAAGAATAGAGATTGAAAGAAATAAAACCTTTTGTGACTCTAGTTTTCGATTATAAAAGATGGCTTTTTAAAAAGTATATATATATATATATATTTAAATTTCAATTATCTATAATTCCATACATCATTAATTTTCATAAAACATCTAAAAATTCTATTTTTATGATACGATAATTTAATAAAAAATAGTTTTATAAATTTTTTTCTTTCTTCAAATCGTAAATTGTTGAAACGTATGTTTGTATAACTTAAGAGTTTTTATATTTTAAAATATGACGTTTTATTTGGTTTTAATAATAACTAAGATCTTAAATAATTTTTAAAAAAATAGAATTTTATTTTTACAGCAAAGGAAATATTTAGAAACTTTATTAAAAAAAAAGTGTTCTTTTTATTTCTCTTTGTAACAGATAACAGATGATTTTTCCGGAAAAAAAAAGTGTCTTTTTTATCGTACTTTTATTTTAAAAAAGCTAAAAATAAATTTCAGAAATCTTTTGGTGTGTGTCAGGTGACAAGACGTGGAGGAGACAAAAACAGTGGGCGTCAGATTGGCAGTGAGTGTTTCTTGTAGACAAATATCATATCGCCCGTTTTAGTTTAATTTGTAACCCAATGTTTCCTTATAATCATACAATTGTAATTTATTAATTATAATAAATTATGATACACAATAATGACCCCGGCGCAATTCGTGGGAATGCCTACTCATTTTCTTTAAATTAACTGTTATGTTTTGACTTTTAGTTGAAATCTAGTAACGAATATTAGAAAAAAGTAATTAATAGAGAAAATCAAGGGAATGTATGCATTTAATATTTTACACCCCGAAGATATAAAATGGAATGGACTGATTCGTATGACATCTGATCCAAAGTATTATGTGTTTATTGTCTTGACTTTGCACCAATTTTTTTTACAAACGATTAAGGAATAGTAAATTATAACCTAAATTGGCTAACTGTCATGACAAACGAACTTTATCAAAACAAAGGAAAACTATCAAAGACAAATGAATTGGTTTATGAATGTAAAACAAATGTAGTATAAAAAATAATATAAATGATATTATAAAACTATTTCTTGATTAAAAACTTTTGTATTTTAAACAAAATATAAAATGATAATAAATTCAACAATTAATTAAATTATAGAAAAACTAACAAAAAATGAAATTCTAAAACTGATAATTGATAGTTTTCGCCACGCGTTCTATAATCATCAAGATTTATGTAATAGCAAAAAAACAAATTTATCATATTACTAGTAACTCGCATTTAATCAACTAAAAAAAAAATAACTTATAATCCAGTCTTGACTCTTGAGCAAATGGCGGGACCCACGCAGATGTAAGAGGGATGGAAACGGTGTCGTTAGGTATTAAGGGAAATCCAACCGAAGTGGATCTAGCAAAAACCGGTCTGGGTGGGCTTTTACCCGAGACACGTGGGCTTTCGGATTGCCCGGAAATTCGAATTTTATTATTCGCGAAGTAATGATATATCCGATTTTATAATCGAATATATATATATATATATATATATATATAAGCTTTCTCCCTCTTTTTTTTTGTAACCAATGATTGTACTGTGTTTTTTTTAGGGGCACGAGGAATACAGTCGGTGCAACAAGCGTTACAATCTCTGCTACACACCCGACACGTGTAAATCTAAGAACCGTTTATTCTTACGCCATTGATTTGGTACAAGATTTAGCAGAGAGCGCTCTTTCTCTTTGTCCCCATCTCCCTTTTTTGAAACCATTGCACTCTGCGCACGTTAGCCTTCCACGGGGCGTCACCGCCACTTTTTCTATCTTGTGCTTGAAGCTTCGAGAAGAGACAAATACCAGAAACCCTCTTTTTTTCCCCTGATCTCAGATTCCGTTTTAGATTATTTTTTTTTTGTGTGTGCGTGTGTATCTCTCTCGCTAAATCTCTGCATTTCGGAGGTGGCGAAGGGCCCTGAAGCTTCTGTTTCTTTCTTGTTCCAAGCTTAATCCAGGTGATTTCTGTTGTTTGAAGCTTCTGATTTTGATTGATACTCTCTGTTACTTTGTTTTGTTGTGGATTTGATCTGGGTTTTGGTCACTTTTTACTCTAATCGAGGTTTTCTCCATTTCTTTTCTGGGTTTTGGATTAATCTACGTTTTCCGCCTTGGGTTTTGGAGAGATTTGGTGTATATCACCCCCCCCCCCCCCCGTTTTTCTTTATCGAGAAAATGGCTCCGTAACGAATTTCCTCGCATGATCTATAATCTTAGTGACGGATCGAGTGATCTGACGTGTTGGAAACTTCATGATTTAGCTTGTAATCGAAGTTCAGTTTCTTAGATTTTGATCCAGAGAAATATAATCTGAACATTATCGGTAATAAAATCAGCTTATCTACAAGGAACTGGAGAGTTCTTGATTGGAGTATGTGGGGCTTGCAACGTGAAGCATCCTCCATGTACAAGAGATCGTCACCAAGAGAGAATACACCAATGCTTGATGTAGAAGAAAACTCAGGTACGTGGATTGATTAGTGTAATCTCAATCGTGTATTATGTATGATTCATGCGTGAAAATAAAAAAATACCCAGGCGTTGTTGTTGTTGTTGTTGGTTTAGTTACGATTCCAGTGTAGGATGATTTGGATATTTTTCATTGAATTTGTATCATATTTTGATTGTATTCCTTTCACCATACGGACTTTACACTAAGCCTGTTCTTTTATTTCAGCTCTTTTGCAGAATAGCTTGAATATGGAAGCAGAAACTACAAGTCCCCCTTGGAAATATTCCTTCCCCCATGTCATTGTAGCCACGATTTCGTCTTTCTTGTTCGGCTATCACTTAGGGTAAGCGATTATAAAGTTTTACGAATTTGAGTTCTTCGATATTGTTGCTTGTTATGCGTCTGCAAGGTCGAGGATTGCTCATTTTTTTCAATGTTACAGGGTAGTCAACGAACCACTTGAAAGCATTTCATCGGATCTTGGGTTTAGTGGTGATACACTTGCTGAAGGTACCCTTTAGAGGATTTTCCATGGATTTCTTATTTGATGTGGAGTATAGTCGATACTGATAGTGTTACTCATTCATTTTCTCTTGCTTGATATATGAAGGTCTGGTGGTTAGTGTATGTCTCGGTGGCGCATTTATTGGATCTTTATTCAGCGGATGGGTTGCTGATGGAGTTGGTCGACGTAGGGCCTTTCAGCTTTGTGCTTTGCCCATCATTTTAGGTGCCGTGATAAGGTGAGCTTAAGTTCGATAATAAGAAAAAACCTTTTTCCTCTACAGATTTGCTGCTTTTCTCGTGCATTGGAACTTCCTCACCAAGCTTCTAAGTGAATGAGTATTCATAATTTTCTTATTCTGATATATGTACACTGCCAGTGGGTCGTTATTGCAAGTTGAACTTCTTAAAAAACGAAAGGAAAAAACCTTATAAGTGCCAGTGGCTAGCTTCTTTGATCTCCATGAAATAATGATGTACATACAGAGAGCGGGTTGCTTCATGTTTTTTAAAAATCCCTTTGCTTTGTTTCTCAATTTTAAATGTGCATTTTCAGTGGAGCTAGTAAAACTCTTGCATTCATGCTTCTGGGACGGTTCTTGGTTGGGATTGGTATGGGTATTGGGCCACCTGTGGCAGCACTCTATGTGACAGAGGTATGTATATACAGAGGTATGTAAATAATTTTTGGTTTATGAGATCTTGATTTTTAATAGGAATATACTTATTGTTTGATTAGGTCTCACCGGCTTCTGTAAGGGGAACATACGGAAGCTTCATACAGATTGCAACATGTCTGGGGTTGATGGGTTCCCTCTTTATCGGAATTCCTGTACATGAAATCACTGGCTGGTAAGCAAGAATCTGTACTTCGGTAATAATCATTTTATTTGTATGTTCGCTTAGTGTGTACACGTTTAAAATAATGCCGGTTGTGCAGGTGGCGGGTCTGTTTCTGGGTATCGACAATACCTGCTGTGGCACTCGCACTCGGGATGTTCCTGTGTGCTGAGTCTCCACATTGGTTGTTCAAGGTCTGTGTTTTGATTCATTTTATCTTCTGTAAAGTTATTTTCAGGTCATTGTTATCGTTAAGAATTTCTCCTTTTGTCACTCGGGATTTGAGTTTATGTGTCTAGAAAGCTCTTTTGTGCTCCGTTGCTTCATTTTTCGCCATCCATAAGTATTCTTTTCTCTGTTCACGTGGTTTAGTTCTGATAACGGATTCAAAACGAATGTAAAATGCTCGTTTTTTGCAGCAAGGGAAGACAGCTGAAGCTGAAGCAGAATTCGAGCGATTGTTTGGAGGGTTACATGTTAAAACAGCAATGGCCGAATTACACCAACTAGAACTAGACAATGGAGACGAGCCTGATGTTGTCAGTCTCTCGGAATTGCTATATGGTCGGCATTCGAAGGGTATTTACCGCTTTTCCCCCGAAACTTTCTACAGTTTTTGTGTGTTTTCCGTTCTTTTATCTTCTGTATAGGGCTTTGTTATTCACTCGTTCCTTTTGCAGTTGTTTTTATTGGATCAACCCTATTTGCTTTGCAACAGCTATCTGGTATAAATGCCGTCTTTTATTTCTCTTCTGCTGTATTTAAAAGTGCCGGAGTACCGTCGGGCCTTGCCAACATCTTCGTAGGAATAGCAAATCTTTTAGGTATGGCGGCTTTTCTCTCGTTTTTTTCAATTATAACGATCTTCTCGTCTCGTCTCGTAACATTCTTGCGAGTTTCAGGATCTGTTATTGCAATGGTGTTAATGGACAAACTGGGAAGAAAGATTCTTCTTCTTTGGAGCTTTCTCGGCATGGTGTGTTGTTAAATCTTCTTTTTACAAGTTTGAATATTTTCTGATGTTGTTCTTTATCGTCGAAGATTAACGTTCAATAAAAAATATCAAGGATGTATCGTTTATGAAGTGTTCATTCTTGTTTGTAGGCGGTATCGATGGCACTTCAAGTCGGCGCGACAAGTTCATACTTACCACATTTTGGAGGGTTGTGTTTATCGGTCGGCGGCACACTTATGTACGTAGTCGATGACAGAAATTTCGAAACAGCTTCTCGATTCAGAACTCGAGAAAAATACATGATCATGGAATTTGGTTTCGGGTTTCGTTATTACAGGTTTGTGCTTACATTCGCCACGGGAGCTGGTCCAGTGCCTGGTCTGCTCCTTCCTGAGATCTTCCCGAGTCGAATTAGGGCTAAAGCCATGGCAATCTGCATGTCTGTCCACTGGGTAATGAATGAACTCTATTCCACTTCTCGTTTATGTATGGTTGAGGTGGGGAAAACACGAAATTCGGTTATCCGACTTGGCTTGCGGATTGGGTATTCGACTTGGCTCGCGGATTGGGTATCCGAAATTCGGTATCTGAGCACTCTATGAGATAAGATCGACTATTGTTTTTAAAAAACCTGGAATTCAGGTCTGGGTTTTGGTGAATGAGATTCGAAATTAGCCAAGGGTGCCCAGAGTAGTTAATTTACATTTTGATCACATGGTCACATTTGGACCATACCGTTATTTTGGTCACATGGTCACATTAGATTTAGCAAAAAGAGGGTATTTTGGATATTTTACCGTGTAAACGAGTGAAATTTTGACTAAAATGAGTTTGAATGTTAGGGTTCGGTTTGAATGTTAGGGTTCGGGTATTCGGGTGTATCTGAATATTTACCTCGCAGGTATTCAAATTCAGATATCTGATCCCATAGGTACAAGTTCGGACCCAAGATATTCGGGTTTGGGTATCCTGAAAATCTCGGGTATACGGTTCATGCCCACGAATGACCCCTTGAAACCGCTTAGAAAGAACTAGAGGGGAACAAATCCGCAATCTGTTTTACGTTGCTGACGATGTTGTCTGGTATCGGGCAGGTGATAAACTTCTTCGTGGGTTTACTGTTCCTGAGGCTGCTCGACCAGCTCGGTCCGAGGCTTCTGTACTCGATGTTCTGCACGTTCTGCCTGATGGCCGTGGTGTTTGTGAAGAAGAACGTTATCGAAACCAAAGGAAAATCCCTTCAGGAGATTGAGATTTCTCTGCTCGCAAAACCCTAATGTATCTCCCCAAGTTTTTTTTTACTTGGAACTGTGTTTAATGTACTAAATAATGAGGTTTTATTATATACTAGTATATAGATGCATTTGTGTATTTGAGGCTCTGTGTTGTAAAACTAATTTGTGCTCGAAATTAATAAAATGGGACAGTCCTATTTTAACAAAAAACATCGATATAGGCATTCATAAAAACGTTGGTCCCATTTTACGTTTTAATAATTCTTTTATTATACATATAAATGACCCTTGTAAATCAATCTCTAAAATAATCAAAATAAAATAACCAAATTCAAATCAAACTAAAATATTGGGCCTGCAATATATATATATATATATATATATATATATATATAGAGAGAGAGAGAGAGAGAGAGAGAGTAGAAGACTCCCAACCCAATAGTGTGCGCTCCTCGGAGGTTCCACATAAAGGCTTTTAAAATCTCAAACTTTTGAAGCAAAAAAGAAAAAGTGTCCTGAAAGAAGTATGAGAAAAGTAGCTTTTGCTTCATTGGCTTTACCATCAAAAGAACACAACATAGGTTTTGACATTTCCATTCAACCGCATTTATAAAACATGCAACTAAATCTATCTATCTATATATATATATATCCCGTACAGTAAATAATAAAAATCCTATAACTTTTTTAAATACTATAGTTTGGGTTGACTTATATGGATCGTAAAAATTTACATATCTAATAATAAGTCATTTTCTATAAATTAGGGTTTTTGTTTCGTGTATTTGATTTTTGAATTCGAATTCGTTCGGTCACTTCACTTTGTTGGCTAATGCCTCGCGTAAGAGTACAAATTCTAAATTCATGTACTAAAACACAAAGCAGAAACGTTGGATCCACTCCCCCATGTACCAATCAATGGCTTCGAATCTGCATTAATGTACTTACTGCTATTATTATTCCTTTTATAGGGGACATTCCCATGAATAATGCATTACATGGGACTTATATTTTTTATCCATCGGATTAATTCTCATGCAAATTAAAAGGAATAAAATGTCAACTATATATATATATATATATATATCATGAAAATTATAAACACAGCATCAAAAACCAGATAGATGAAGAAAAAAAAAACTTTTCCATTCGCAGAAAGTTAATCCAAGTTATACAACAAACCTCTAAACTTCTGTCAAACCCTAAACATGATTAACCTTAAAGAACACGCATTTATTATTACTAATCTAAGAGATAAACAAGAAAATACAAGAGATTTGTTTCTTGTTCCAGTTAGGCAGAGAATAAGGTCTCGTAAATCTCCAAGAACACTTGGACAATAACCCCATGGTGATGGCGAGAATTCAGCGACAAGAAACACTGAAGAAGCTGTTGGAGATCATCCGCCGCAAAGATCTGTCTCTCCACGATCATCTCGACCATCGATGTCCGGAAATCCTCGTACGGGTCACTCGACTTCTTCACCACCGCGAAACTGTCCTTTACCTTCCCATTTTCCGGCAGAAGTCCACCGCCAGAGACGTCCTTGTCTGTTTTCCGGCGTGGGTTAGGGTTTTTCTGTCGGTAGACAGCTTCCGTTGAGTTGGAAGAGAAGCTTCTAGAAGAAAAGAGCGTGTCGGTCTCGTCATCTTCTGATTCTTTATTTTGTTCTTGGCCTTCGTTGTCATCTTCGTCGCTGCTCGACCAACACCATGAACCGGTTGACTTGAACCGACAGCTTCCATCATGTGAGGATGAACTGAAGAGATAATCACAGCCCATTTGGGATCTCTTCCTGTTTCTCCGATGAATCTGGCTCTTCGTCTTCGTTGTCTTGGAATCTTTGTCGTACTTTCGGAACGAACGGCTCTCGTCGTAGAACGGGTTCGCCGGAAAAACAGTCGAAGCCGGAGGGCGAAACGCGTGCCGTTTTACCGGGGTGTAGAACAGCGAGTAGTGCGGCTTCTGAACTCTGGGACGGGGGGGAGTGTCGTTCGGTTTTGTGAGTCTCTGAAACGACGCCGTTTGAGAAGTGAAAGTGGACGTCTCGACGACGTCGTATAAGCTCCGGGGTCTGCAAACGTGGAACGATGACCGGACTAACTTTGGAAGCCGAAGCTTGAGCTTCTTCTCCATTGGAGAGAGAGAGAGAGAGAGAGAGAGACTAGAGGAAAGATGTTTGATAAATACTATAAAGGATCGGGGAAAAGAGAATTCTTATTTTCTTTTTCTCTTGTACTTTTATTTATTTATATAGCTTTTCATTTTGTCGTATATTAATGATAATTTAATGATTGTAACTTTTTATGTTTGCTTCTCTGCTCTGCGTTTTGTCTCGTCTGTTCGTGTTTTTACTTTTGGGATCTCTCTCATTATTTAGTTTTATTTAAATTTTTACTCATTTTTCTTTAAGGTTTGAATTAGGCCTATATGACTTTTTGTTATTCTTTGATATATATACACACACACAAACATATTATATTTCTGATATTCATTTATTATGAAGAGATCTGGGACTTGGAAATGTTAAATTCATCCTAACATGAAAATTAAATGCTACATATGTAGAAAACTAATGCTGACAATGAACTAAAAAAAAAAAAATTCTATGTCCATGAACATAACAAGCAAATAGGAGACACAACAAGAAACATATATAGACAAAGATGTCGGGTGTTTAATTGATTTAAGATGCTTTGGATTTTTCTATTTTATGATAAACTAATGCATCAGTTAATTAGATTTTTTATTTATAATATTTAAATTTTAAAAATTAAAACGGTGCATGAACCGGAAATTAATCAAGCTTAGCCACCCACCAACTCAGCCGGATTTAGCATGTCAGACATATCTTTTGTGATACTTAGATGAAATCTTTTCGATTTGGATACGAAAATTGCAAAAGATATGCAGTACATACGAATCCATATACATTAGAAATTATATGGAAAAAATTTCGTATTTCTTTTTTCATTCTGGGTTGATGTATTTTTATAATTACTAATATAATTTTTCATACCCATGGCATGGGTATTAAAAGTGTAGTATATTGACCGATCTTATAAGATATCTGAAATTTGAAATGAAATATATATATATATATATTTGTGATTTAAAATTAGTCAAAATGATCATATATTTTAAAATATAACTCCTTAAGTACAGGTGAAAAAAAAAATATAACTCTTCTGCACATATAATAGGTGTATAACTCCACAAATCGTCAAGAACATTCCAAATAATAATCAGATTAAATATCATAATTAATATTTATTGGGCCAATATAATTTGTTTTCTCTTTCAAATGTTGCAACTTTCTCGCGGCAATTCGTGCCTCGGTGGCTGAGAATCACTTTCCTCGAATTACACACAATTACCCGTCCAACTAAATTATTGTTAATTAATAAAATGAAAAATTTTAGATTTTTACACATGAACTGCACCGATAAAAATGAAGAAAAAAACTGCGATAAAAGAAAATCAATTTTAGAAAATTATTGTTCACATTTTGAAAAAATTATTACATTTATTTTATTATGCAGTCTTTAATGCATAAAAACATTAATGTTATTTATGGGAAATAGCATTTGTTTATTTCTTGCCGAAAACAATTTGTTTTGACCTTCCGAATTATTCAATACAATAACAAGAATTAAATTTTATTGATAGAATAAAAATTAAATGGATAGATCCTGAAATAATAAATTTTGAAGATTTTCATATAAAAGTTTTATAAAATAATTCAATAAGTTTTAGATTTTTTAATAACGTTTAAAATTAATAGGAAAAGATGTTCCCAAGAGCAAAATAATTATAAAATGCTAGACATAAAAACGAAATGATACGATATATACACAACTTGACTTTACCATTTATCCATTCCTTGTTACTTTATATATAATAACCACTTATTGTAACAAAAAAATAATATTTTTTAAAAGTATGCTAAAATTTCCTAGAATAAAATAAAACAAAATCGAATTAGGGAGGGAAAGCGAAGTGAATGCGAATTGGCCAAATCTAATTTCCCTTTACGTAAAAAGTAGGGTCGGGGGGACCAAATTAGCCTTCGACCTCTGCTGGTCCTTTTCCATGACACTGTTTTTTTGAATTTCAAATTTTTTATATTAATTAATTAAGCCATTCATAATTATAACCATTGATGTAATTAATAACAGTAATCACGATATTATCATATATTTTTTTATATAGACGTATCTAAAGATTTTCCTTTTTTATTATTATTAGAACAGTATTCTCTACGGATTATTAATAGGGAAAAAAGTAACTTTAAATCAACAAATAATTAGACAAATTATATGATAAAGGAATAAAATCGTTATGTTTTCGAAGTATAATTTAAATTTGATTACATGCGTCTCAAGTAACTAAAAGAAAGCTAGTTAAATATTTATTTTCTTTCGTCACAAAAGAAAATATAAGTTATTTATGTATTTTTTTTTTATTTTCGGGCATGGGTTAAAATTTCATTTTGAAATTATAAGTCATAACCTCCCTAGCACTTACTTTTTTTTTCAACGTTTTTTATTAGGGAATATTCTATAAATGGGTGGATTTTGATATTTCTGTTTATTTACAATTTCAATAACGACGGGTGAATTCTCATTATCAAAGGGCACAGTCTGATTGCAGCGTTATGCTGCAAAGAGTGCACCTACGAAAGAATTATCGCAGGGAATGACAGATGCCCCAAAATTAGCTTCTTTTTTTTTTTTTTTTTTTTTTCTTTTGCTGCTTCATAAATACTCTTCTGAAAGTTTCAAAGGATCGTTCGTGCCTCTGCATAATTCTAATTGGTGTTATTCTTTGTGTTGGGTTTTGTGCGGTGGGATATTATTATTACCTATTTCTTTTATCTTTTTTTTTTAAAAAAAAAACCTTAAACATAAGAGTTTTATTTAATACAATACAAACATATGAGGTTGTAGCTAGCTTAGCTTTGGTGGTAGAGTGGGTGCCATTTATTCTAGACTTCTAAGGTGTGAACAATGGATTTGTGAGGAATGATTCAATTTAATTTTAATAAGATTATTTTTCAATTCAAAATGGATATAGATAGATCGAATCTCCAATAAATCAACCTAAATACAAAAAAAAATCTTTTTTTTTTCATATATTCAACTGTATTTTTTTTTGGTAATTGGATGTCTTGGTCTGAGATTTAGATTAATCATAGGATCGGAAGTAAGATATGTGATTAGAATATGTGCTCTTTTTCCCAACTGTAGACTCGAACATGGAGCGGACAGACGTCTCTTGCGTTTCTGTTTGACCGGTTGAGGCAACCATGTTGAGTTACTTAACTAGTAAAGTTAATTCGTTTGGGACCAAACATAAAGGGTTCTAGTTAGCCCGAGATGTGGCCGAGACAGCTAGGGTTTAGGCCGTTAGGTATTGTGGCAAGGCGAAACCAACGTATGGTCGAGGTTATGGTGAGGACGAGCCAAAGTGTGGCCGGGCGCGGCTAGTGAATAGGCATGGCCAACAGCTAGAATTTGATCCCAAGTTTTCGTTTAAATAATAATAATAATAATAATAAATAGAAGGATATTCCTTCTAAAAACGGTCCAAGGATTCGAAAGAATTGGTCCTGCCTTTGCATAATTCTAATAGGATGTCATTTTATGTGTTCAGTTTTCGGTAGTGAAAATGTTGTGATGATCCTCATATTTGTTATGAGTACAAAAATATATAATGTCGTAAGAAAAAAAATCAAATTTAAAAAGAATGAATTCTAATTAATTAAACATAAGGTTATTAGTGGGGATTCATTCACATATAATCTTTATTGATTTCATATGTTTTTTTGTCTCATTGATCTCAGTTTTCATTTTCCGTTTTTTAATTTCAAATATCTCAATAAGAAAATTTAATATAGCTTTTCTACCAAAGTGTTGACCTTTGCATAGCTAAATAATAAATCCAAGCGAAAAATGTTAGAAGAGGCGACAAAGGGCAAATTTGTCATCTTCTTAGGTTAATTTTAGATAGAGCAATTTCAAGTTTATTGTTTTTGCGTTTCTTGTTCCATAAACTTTTTTGTTTTACAATGGCAAAGAATATAAATTATTAGTATATCAATTATAACAACTGGCATCAGAAAAATTAAGCGTTTGACGAGTTACGAGTTACGGTCGGTTAATTTTCGATTTGATTTAATTAAGTTTTAGTATTCTATTTTGTCTTCTTGTTATTCGGTCTTACTTAAAAACCGAATTTTCATTTGAACGAATATATAATATATAAAAAATTTGTTCTCAGGTTCAATAACAATCCGATTAATATATATATATATAGTGTCATTTCAATAATTAATTTAAGATTAGATTTTGATGCATGGATATAGAGGAAGGAATCTAGTTCGAGTAGAAGGTTCCAAGAGGACAAAAACAAACAAGACTTTGAGGCTTAACTGCGAGGAGGGAATCTCATTTCAGCTTCATGTAATAATATTTTTTGAAATTAGATTCCAACTTTTTCAAAAATGTTGAATTTATAATATTTATATTAGCTTAAAGACAAGAGGAGAATGCCCTTTTTACATCTCTCTCTTTTTGGTTTTCATACTATGAACTTCGGCTCTGAAACACATCCACAAATCTCCCATAATAACTCTTCTCGCTTCTCAATAACTTTATATTCAAACTTAGGGTTTCTTCATAATATTATGCAAGCATGGTTGATTATGTATGTGCATACGCATTTTATTATTAGCTGAGAACAATTTTTTTAAATACGCTAAAATAAATATACAATTATTTCACTTATTTATGTGAATATCATATTTATAACGAATTTCTATCTGTATACAACTCTCTTGACTCTTAAAGAACCCATAACTAAAATTTTAATTGGCTGGTAAAATATATGCAAAAAACTGATACGTTTAATATTCTATGCATTTCAATTCAATTTAAAAATATTTTTATAAAATTAAATGAATATCATAACTACATTTTAAATTTAATTGAAAATATACACATTAATAAATTTATAAACTGTTTTAGATACTTTTGTAAAATAAAAATAAATTATTCAAATTTTATGTAATTAAAGTTTTACTTAATTTTTTAAAATTAAGGTTTTTTTTTTACGTTTTTCTATTTTTAAAGGTGCAAGAATGAGTCGATTTGAACGTTATGCAATGAGATATCTCTACCTGTAACCATACCAGTCTTTTTTTTCTTTCAAAAATTATGGATTGGGTTTGAAATGGTAAAGAGAAATTCGAATAAAATATAAAGCTATTTGGAATATTGCATATGATGAGTAAACGTCAAAGAGGCTCGTGTGGTTTTTGACCTTTTGTCTTTGACAATTGTTTTTTTTTTAACTCAACGAAACGTGACGACGTCTTTGGAAACTCCACTTTGTGTTTTTACCCGGGAAAAAAAACAGACGACAAGCATTCCATGCCAAATTATGAAACGACACGCAGTCCCTCTTTTTTCTCCCCGTTTCAAATTACAGGGAAGGTGAAAAAGGAAAAACAAATACTAAAAAGAAGCACGAAACGAGACCAACGTCATCTTAGGTCATGTTTCGATAAGCGGCTGAAATTGGCATATCCCGTGTCTACTAGGGGTGGGCGTTTTAACCCGTAACCCAGGGGTTTGGAGGTACCCGGCTTAATAAAGGGTACCTGAATATTAACGATGATGAGATCGAGTATTAATAAGACTAAATTTTCGACCTCCGAATCCGAGTGGGGGTTCAATTATTTTACAAAGGGTACCCGGGTTACCCGGTATATTTGTTAAAAATCTAAAATATACTTTATATTTATAATATTTTTGTCTAAATTATTCTTATTATTTATTAAAATACTTTTATTTTAGTTAAATTTTTTTATGTTCTAAACCTTTCTATACAAAAATTTCATCATTCCAAATCTCATTCTATGTAACCGAATCAACCATTCATCTTTCTCTCAAAATTTTAGTCATCTCTCTTCATCGTGAATTTTTCTCTTTATACTTTGACCTCTCTCATTTGTATTTTCTATATCTATCATTTTATATTTCAAAATTTTATAAATCGTATGGGTCCGGGTATCCGCGAGTACAAGACCGAGAATCTCATTAAACCCGATCTACAAGTACCCGGATTTTATGAAGCCAAGACTGAGATAATATTTTTGTAAAACCCGTGGTAATGGAGACGAGACAGGATTTTCTAAAAATTGGAGGTACCCGACCCGTGCCTACCCCTAGTGTCTACAAACATTTTATTAAGTCAACAAATTTGGGTTCGTTTTTTTTAATGTTAGAAAAATTATATGAATTGATTTTTATATTGAATATTATTTTGTTATTTTTTTGTGAAAAGTAATTTTAGATTCAATTTCTTTAGTGATAAACATATTTAATTTTGAAAATTTTCGTTTTATTTCTTTATATTCGAATGTATTAGGATTCAATTTTTTTTTTTGGTAACTAGGATTCAAATTTTATTTTTAAGTATTTATATCTATTCAATTTTTGTATAAGATTGGAATATTATTATATGTTAATGATATGTTATTTAATTTGGATGGATTTGATTTTACTTTAACCAAATCCAAATGATACCAAATAATACATTTTAAAAAAGTGACAAGAGGAAGGAATGTATATTTATGTTCGAAACTAGGGTATAAAACGGGTTGGATCGGTTCGACACAATTCAATCTGTTCCAATCTAAGATTTTTTAAATCTAGTCTAGTATGGTCTGTTTTTTGGAGAGCCAAAAATTATTTGGTTCAATTTGACTCACCTTAGATCACGAGTCATGTAAGTCAAATAAATAACTAAAACATAAAATTTAAATATTAAAAAACTATTTAAAAATATTATAAATATTATAAATACAATTAAAAAATTAAACCAAACAAGTTAAATAATTTTTAGAAAGATAATTTTAATATAAAAGATATTAAAATATTTCAAAATGTTAAAAATTAAACAAAAAATATTTTTTCCTGAATCGCGAACCAGCTGGTGACACACCGAACTGGCTCACCATGAGATGAACTGGATCATTCGGTCAATTTTTTTTTTTCGAACTCAAATTTTTTAAGTCCATCTCGGAAAATATGGACAGACTCGCGAGCGAAACCCATTTTACATCGCTATTGGAAGCTAGTGAGCGGCTTGGCCCAATTTTATCGTATTGAACCAAATCTATTTCCGCACTAGAAAAATGTAATCCGATCCGCTGATTAAAACAAGAGAATGCTATCACATTTATATGTCGGATATTAATGAGAATGGTGAAATAAGATAACTTTATTCTATAAATACAATTCCCCTAAACAGAACGTGAGCACTAATTTACTCATGATGCACATTAATCCCAATGAAGGATGAAGGTAAAAAGGAAACACATTCAAGCTAGAAACTCGCTTCCAGTCACAAGAAACCATAATTAAATACCCTTTTGCATGAAGAGAAGCGCAGTTACCTAGTGCATTGAAATGTCTTTAACTATCCAATATCTGCACAGTGATATGCATGCCAAACAGTACAGACAGCAATATTACCGGTCATAATGATTCAGCTATGGGCCTGTGAGAGAAAAAATTTACCTATGTGGAAGTATATGAGATTTGGAGAGAAGAAAATCGAAAATTTTGCTGGCACGAGAAGGACATTACAGGAGATGGGCACGTACATCGCCAACCTGATTCGGGATATCTTTCTCTCGACTCAAAAGGGGAAGTATGATTGATATTACCTATGTGGGAGTTGATTACCAGGAGATGTTATCTGAATATTGCTGCGTAGCTAGCTTTTGATTGATTGCGAATATACAGTCTGAGGACTATTGGTCTTGGATGCAGCCATGAGCTGATTTTGTATACTCATGGCCTTGGAATCTTTATCTGCATTCTGCATCTAAATCATCCACATATTTTCCAGGGAAAATGACTTTCAAGAGCCCTTGTGTTGGACTAGGAGAAAAGTCTTTACACTTCTGATGAAGTAACATGGATATGTGGAATCATACAAGGCTTTACGAATACAGACAAGAAAGCATCCTTCTTGCTCTTGTCTTATGCCCAAATCGATGCGCATTCATGCTAAATTAACCACCACCCATTCCGAAGAAGCAAAACGATTTCGAGAAAAACGATACAGAAGGAAAACAACCTGGGCTTTCAGGGTTCGAGTTGCTAAGACAAAGACTCATTTTAGCTTCAATTGACTTCTTCATCTCCTCTGACGAGCAAGATCTTCCAGTAAGACGACAACAAACGAGATTGCGTCAGATCAAAGTCTGAGAAGAAAACCAAACCTGTTCTTGAATGGGAAACCCGCGATCTTGAAACCGAACATCGTCATCTTGCTTCGTGGTTTGGCTTTCCACTTCTTGGCGATCCATCGGGGGTATCCGAGGCTGAAAAGCGAGAAGAATACTGGTCGGAAATTTCAAGAGAACTGATGGGTCTCGAAGAAAGAAGTTTTTCTCCCAGAGGATGGGCAACCCAGAGAGGGATTGTCGAAGCAAGCGAAATGAAGATCAATGGCAGAGTGGTGCGAATTTCAAATATCAAATGTGACCGTTTGATTATAAATATATTTTTTTTGGAAAATACTGATTTTTTTTTCCTATGAGCCCAATATCAAACTGGGCTTATCTTGTAGGCCCAAAATAAAAGAAAGAAATGAAGTTTGAGATGGTTTTGGAGGTCACATATTAGTATCTAAATATACAAAATTAAAATAAAGAAATAAGAAATAATTATATTCCGGTATAATTATAAATTTTAAAATCAAATTAATAGAATCATACTTAAATTCAAATTAATATGAAAATAACAACGAAACTAAGAGTATTTTTTTCCAATATATTTTGAATAAAAAATGAATTAGACTAGAATCAGGAAATGATTTTATTAAAAACAAAGAAACGGGTGCAAAAATAACGGAATCGAAATCCAAAATATTTATCATATATAGGTTAAAGATTTTGTATCCAAAGAACTCGGATATCAGATTCAGGTCTGTCCGCTCCTAGTTGCTAGGTTTATGGGTTCTCCCACTTTTGCAATAGAGATTTTGTGTTTATTCATAATTATTGATAGAGATTACTTTTCACTTAAAATTTCTCAATTAATGCCAAAGATTCATTTGTTACATGAAGAATACTTCAAACTTCGTATAAAAAATTATAAATTGAGGTAAGCAAACAATATTTTAAGATTTAATTTTATTAAGAAAAAATCGTATATAAATATCTAAATTTTTATAAAAATTCTGTCCTAACTAACTTTCACATAAATATCTCTGAATGTTTCTAAAATTTTATATAAGTATCTAAATTTCTTTTAAAAAAAATAAATTCAAAATCTATTAATTGAGTTATTTATTTTTATTTGAAAAATATTGGAATTTTGTATTTATTTGAAAAAAACAAAAATTTAGATATTTATATAAAATTTTTAAAAAAATTTAAGTATTTATATAAAAATTATATAATTAATATAATTATCTATAATTTTTGTAAAAATTTAGATATTTATATACGATTTTCAACACTATGTATCAAAACGAATTACCGAATTATCATATCGAGATGTAAAATTTGGGTTAGCGTGGATTTTTCATTTTCAATTTTTGGAATAATCTTTTGGATCCAAGTTCATACGAAAAAAATACTGATCTTAATCTGTGTTTGAGTCGGATCGAATTGAATACAAATATATCTTTAAAGAAAAAAAATCGGATTTGGCTGTTTTTTTTTTGTCTGATTCAATTCGCTTTGTTCGATTGAAACACAAAATCAAATTATTCGGTTTCATTCGAATGAGTACCCCATTGTTACAATCGACACTTTGATTTGCCAAATTATGCAAGATACCTTTGGTTACATGGAAATTTAAAAGTTATATATTTATGTATATTGAAGCCCAAAGTGCCTAAAACATATAAGGTTACAGAAATTAAATCTTGTGAAACACAGTAAACTCACAAGACAGGGACTTTCGGTCAAGAGTCATCAACCTTTGGTGAAGTATCATCACCTTTCTTCTCGAACAAAGCTTGAATCTGTTCGAGGGATCTCCCCTTCGTCTCCGGCATCACAAAGTAGAAAAACACAGTCGCCACCACCATTATTCCCGACAGCAACCAGAACTCTCCGGCGAACGTTATCTTCTTCGCCACTGTCAGAAACGACATCGTTATCACTCCGCTCACAACCCGGTTCACAGACACGGCGATGCTCGATCCCTGAGCTCGCAGCCTCATCGGGAAGATCTCGGCCGAGTAAACCCACGTGATGGGTCCGAGCCCTATCGAGAAGAACGAGAGGAATGCACATATGGAGACGACGCAGATGGCTAGAACCCATGCGGGTTTATCGTGAGATGCCGTGAGGAAATGAGAGCCAACCCCTAGAGTAAATAAAGATACTGCTACGCCCGCTGTACCGAGCAAGAGCAGCGGCCGACGGCCATAATGGTCGAGGAACAAAGCCGAGACGAGGACGAAAAACGTCTTGGACATTCCCATTACGATGTTGATTCCCATCAGAAGTCTCTTGTTCATAACTCCGGCTGCTTTCAGGACCTGCGGAGTGTAATATATCACTGCGTCGTTACCCGACGCTTGCATGAAAAAGTTGATCCCGATGGCCGCGACTAGGATCCTCCTTACGGCCGGAGACGGCTTTATCAGAAGCTCTTTCCACACTCCTTGGCCCCGGAAATTGGCTGATGCACCAACTGCCTCTTCAAACGCTTTCTCCATCTCGGCTAGCCTTGTCTCGGCTTCTTCATCGCTTTCCGACGTTTTCCGCAATACCCTTTTCGCCTCGTCGTGTTTTCCATTCATCACGAGCCATCTCGGGGACTCGGGCATCGACATTACCCCTATGGCTACTATTATAGCCGGGAATCCCGCCAGCCCCAGCATTATCCTCCAGTTGTACTTTGGCGAAACTCCCGTCAAAGAGAAATTCACGATGTAGCCGAGGAGAATGCCGACCGTGATGAATATCTCGGGAAATGACGAGAGCAGCCCTCGGGTCATGGCAGGCGACAGCTCGGCCACATAGACTGGCCCGATCATTAGAGCGTAACCTACGCCTATACCAGCTACCATTCTTCCGGCCAAAAGAAACGGGAAAGACGGAGCCAGACCCATCAAAAGTGCACCAATGAGGAACGTACCGGAGGCGAGGATGATCGTATAACGTCTACCGATAAGATCCGAGGTTTTACCGGAAAGGAGCGAGCCGAACAACGACATTACGTTCAGGATACCCGTCAAAACCTCGGTTTCTGTCACTGTAAGCTTGAGAGTTTGCTGGATGAAAAGGCTTGCCCCGCTCATCACACCGATATCTGCAAAAAGAATCGAGAGGGATTACAAAACGTTTTCAGAAAACCTCGATCTCAATCGAGAACATTACAAAATGAAGAAAAACAACTCACCATATCCCAACAAGATCGAGTTTGTGGAGGCCAAAAGAGCGCAGGCAAAGGCATACTTGTTCACCCTCTGTTTCTTCCGACCAGAGACAGCATGAGAGGAACCAGTTTCCTCCATTTTCTGATCAGAATCATCAAGAACATAGTAGTAGTTATGGTTATCTCGCTCTAAACCTGAACTGAGCGTCATCGACAGATACTGGTAATTCTACCTCGAAAATTCGACAGAAAAACGATAGATCTGAATCCGGAAAACCTTCGAATCGATCAAGAGAGATTGTATTGTTTTCGACGAACACAATCACGTTTTCAAGATTTAATACGTCACAAGAGTCGGAAAACAGCCAAAGAGAAGGGTGAAAACGAGAGAACATAGAAGAGAAAAAAGGACTCTTGCTTCATCAAACGCCAAACACTCTTTTATATCCGACAGAAAAAAAAAACACGAGCAACTTAGCTGTGTCCTATGCAAAGCATATGGGGCAAACTCGGCATGTATCAACAACTATCTGCCTTAGTTCAGACAGCCAATGCGCTCCATCAGCACAAAGGAGGATATTCTATAATTACATGCATTAGTAAATGGTAAATTTAGACCAACCCAGAAACATATTATATGATATTACCACATTTAAAATATGCCCAGATTGAAAAGATTCGAAATTGTCCTATTATGATGACAAGATCCAGAAGAACATTTTCAAAATATAGAAATAAAATTCACCGTCGCTCGTTTTCCTATTTAATCTACCGTACGGAATCTAATGGCGTATAAACAGATGCGTTTTCGTTTGGATTTCAACCTATTTTTCTGCCGAAGAACAATATTAAATTTCCTTATAAAAAAAACAATAATGAAATTTCTTTTTTTTTGGATAAAATTCATGCAAACTAAATTTAGGGTATGAAACTAAGAAAATGAAAGACAAAATTGGAAAAAAAATTATAAATAAAATACGGTTAAGGTTATATCGTATTTGGGAGGACAGCGAAGAAATTCATTGACCAGAAAAAGAAAATGGAGAATCAGATCAAAAGACAGGAGACAGTGAAGCAATTGCTGAGAGTTTATGCTCAAAAGCAAACACGAATCGTTGCTTTGTTCTGCCCGAACGTTAATCTAAAAGCGAAAATTCAAATAAAATAGAAAAAAAATTACCTCAACAAAAATTACGGAGGAGAAAGGACCTGAGAATGAGCTTCGCAGAAACTAGACAGCCGCAGAGAGAGAGAGAGAGAGAGAGAGAGAGAGAGAGAGAGAGTTGTGATTAATTAAATAAATTAACTTCTCTGTGGGTGAAAACAGAGAGTTACAAATCCGAGTGTGGGGGGGGCTCGTCGTCTTATATAATTTTTCAGATTAGATTTTCTTAATTTTGTAAAAAAAAAAAACCGATTCTATAATTAACCACAGAGGTAACCGGAAAAAGGGGTATTTTCACAGTTGGAAATGACTGAGCTTATCAATTTACGTACCCCAGGATAGGTTAGACACGTTGAAATTAAGTCAAATGCCATATCTTTTCTATTACTAATTTTCCCAAAACAATATTTGCAAAAGAGGAAAAGAGAATAAAAAAATTTATGTATGTGTATTTTCGCATTAATGACGAAAATACACAAAAATTAATAAAAAAAAGGCGAAAATTACCTGGGTTACTAAAAAAAATGGTTGTGCCCAAATGGTAGGATTAATGAGATTAAACCAAAATTTGAAATAGAGATAATGCATTATTATAACATAAAATATATATAACGAACTTGTAAATATAAATATATATATATATATATATATATATATATATTTATATTTACAAGTTCGTTATATATATTTTATGTTATAATAATGCATTATCTCTATTTCAAATTTTGGTTTAATCTCATTAATCCTACCATTTGGGCACAACCATTTTTTTTAGTAACCCAGGTAATTTTCGCCTTTTTTTTATTAATTTTTGTGTATTTTCGTCATTAATGCGAAAATACACATACATAAATTTTTTTATTCTCTTTTCCTCTTTTGCAAATATTGTTTTGGGAAAATTAGTAATAGAAAAGATATGGCATTTGACTTAATTTCAACGTGTCTAACCTATCCTGGGGTACGTAAATTGATAAGCTCAGTCATTTCCAACTGTGAAAATACCCCTTTTTCCGGTTACAAGATGTAATTTATGCGGTTTAAGAACTTTAATTTCGTGTGAGATGTTGTGCAATGCATACAAAACGTGTGACTAGTTTCTCCGTTTTTTAATTTTTGGTTTTATTTATTAAAAAAAAAGGAATTATCTTATTCCGCTTCATGCAGATGCTCTGGCAACAAGCGTGTGTTGGCCACTCGGCTCATCATGCCATGTGTCAGCCTTAGCATGATATTTTTCCTTTTGTTTTTAAAATTATATATTTATTTTTTTGTAAAGAAAATATATTTATTATTATATAATATTTAGAGAGATTTATTACGTCATTTTTGTTGGCCAATGTTTACATGAAAAAACTAATTATTTTATTTGTGAGTGATTGTGATTGATAGGGGCATCAAACAGACCGAACCGGTAACATGTTAGGTTTTTTCATAATCTACCATTAAAAAAATTATCGAATAATGTATTCATCTATTAAAAAAAATAATATTTCTTGTTCACATCTCTTCGGGTGATGGGAGTATAACTTAACGTCAAAATTGTGCACATTAATATATATTCTATAGTTTAAATTTACACAAAATTTCAAAATCTCTTGTTCCCAACTCAAATTTCAGACATATTCATGCAATTTAATCTAAAATCTATAACAGAATACATCGAAATCAGTCAAGCAATACATACATATATATATATATATAATAACTAAATGAAATTACAAATGAAAGCTAAAGAAACTACCTGGAGAAATGATGGAGGAGGAGGAGAATGGATATGGGAATGGACAAATAGAACGATGGAGCAAGTGAAGAAGAGAGAAGGTTGGTTCTTTTAAATAGGCAGAAGCTATTTAATATCCAAATTTTAAATTAAGAAACTAAATATGATATGGCTTCGTATATCAATCAAGATTCTTTTTCCAACAATGTATTTGTGATGGAAGTTGTACATTTCTTAATTTCTGATAATGGTTAACTTTTACATATGAATTATGAAATATAGAATTTGAACATTAGGTATATCAAGAAAATCGTCAGTTTTTGAACCAACATGTTCACGTGTCTACAAATCGTATCTTAATTGCACAATATATATATATTATAAAATGTATTACATCAACAACAACATTAGCGCATCTGATATATAATAAATCAGGCAATAAATATATTTTCTTAATAAATTTTATATATTTTGCTACATCAAAGTATTGTTTTTTTGGGTTTATCCCTTAATAAAAGTAATTATAAATGATATTTTGAACAAGAGTTGTTTTCTTTAATATATGTGTTTACGGTTAAAACGTCATCTAAACTTAAATCGAGAGAATATAATTTAAAATTTTTAAACCACAAATATCAGCCAAATGTCACGTGGTTTCACATTTATTACAAGGACGTAAATATTTTTAGCAATCTTTTTCAAAAACTTGCAGTAATTTCCAAAATTAAAGCAAATAAAATGCAAAACCTGTGTATACGTCATTTCCTTTTCCGTTTCTCTACAACAAAAATGAATGTGTGTTACTATTATCAGATTTTATATTTTAAATATGATTTGATTTTTTTTAATCAAATTAATTAAATTTTATTAATTTTATAAATTTATTCCAATAAAACAAAACACAATATCTTCTAACTATAACTATATATATAGTTAGCTATCTTTTTAATCCGGTAACCTTTTTGGATTATTAATTTATATATTGGTTCTATTATAATAAATGGATGTGATGGACATTCATATGCAACAAAACATAAAGAAAACTAACATATATTAATAATTTGGAAAATTTCCGAATGAATGTTAGTATTGGAAACTTATGGTTTAGAGTTTACGACATATAAGAAAGCTCTATATAAAAATATAAATTTGTTACCAATTTTCAAATTAATACACAAATTTTTTGAAAAGAAATTCATTTTGAGTTAAAATTATAAAATTTGTAAAACCTTTCCAAAAAAGTATACGGTATTTGATTTTCTTTTTTGTTTGAGTGTAACTTTTTGATATTAAATTCAAGTATTATATGAGATTTTTCGGACATATATGATATATCTATCTCAATTGAAACTTTTTATTACCAATATGGTAATAATTCTAATGAAATTTACCTCAATTGAAAGTGGATATAATGTATTCACAATTTTATAAAAATGTTATACTCTATGCGATGGTGAAGGGTAAATCAGACTTTTGAAAACTATTTTTTACGTGTGGGGGATTATGATTAGTTGTTTTGTTCACAATGGAAAAAAAAAAGTCTAATTTTAGCCCTCAATTATGGGTTCTGCTTTTAATACCAATCTTAAATTTGAATACAAAATGGTTCAAAAAGCCAAAATACACTTGGAGAGTCAACACCTAATTGCCGCATATATAAATTAGCCTATATGCTAAATTGAGTAGAACAATATTGCAGAACATTCATAATTAATAGGTTTTGCAAGTAATTTATCAATTTTTAAATAGTAATAAGATATTTAATATATATATATATATATATATTTTATAACGGAGGACCTTTAACTGCTACCCTTCGAACGCGCTGACTAGGTAAACCTCTGGCCCGGATTTTTAAAATATATATTTAACTATACGCTTAATGATTTTTAAAATTCATTTCCAACTACAATTACAACGCCATTTATTCAACAAAATAATGGTTTATTAATAAGCAAGCAAAATCGTTACCAATCACGGGCAATCGTTTGTATGTGACTGTAAGTTTTAGATATTTCGTATCGTTTCTAAATTATATAATATTGTCTTATTTTACAATATCATTTTCTTTTAAAATAATAATAAATACAAGAGAAATAGAAAATATAATAATATGTAAGTTTTAAAATTTTCGAATATTCATATACAAAAAATCATATATACGTTGTGATACTGTCTGTGATATTAGGATCATTTTTTTGACGTGATGTCGATCTCATAAAATAATGTTTAGTTTTCAATATTTTTTTTTTTAATTTACAGAAGCTCCGATGTATTTCAAATTCTAGAAAGGGTTATGTGCCGATAAATGGGAGGGGATCAATTTTGTGCTTCAAAAATTTTAAATAGTTTTTGCTGACTTTGAATTCGTTAAGTTAAATTTAAATACACAAACTATATAAAAACCAAAAACACAGGGTAAATATTTAAGCCGTGTACGCTTTTGAAATGTAACTTTTTTGCGCACGCGTATACTATATATATATATATATAATTATTTATTTATACTACAATAATTATTTTTAATAATCATATGGACTATCGCTTTGATCAATTTTAGCTTATTTTATTTAGGTCAAATTTATGATTTAATTAAGAATTGAAAGATTTACTTATCATTTGCGAAAAATAATTTGGAGATACCATTTATATTATAAATGGAATTGGAATTATAACAAAGTTAATTTTCAATAAATTATAGATTATGATATCTAGCTCGCATATAATTTTTTATTTTTTTTCACCTACCCGTTTCTACGATTAGTGTGTTGCTCTATATAAGATCATAAACGGTGATCTTTAATCATAAATTACGGAATCCATTACGAAAGTCGATCATTCATGTATAATTCGGTTCATCTTAATTTTGTTCTTACAATTTTAAATATTAGATTCAAAGATTTATTTTTCCACAATAAATTTTCTATTGTTAATTTCAAAATAACTAACACGTCGTTCTTTTTATTTATCATTATATATAGATCATGCACCTACTGTTTCGCATGGTGCATGCAGTAACAACGCGTGGTTCATGCAAGAAGTTTGATTTCAGCAGCTAAAATCACTTCGATCCACGTAGGATGAGATCGATTTTCGTGCTGCGTTGTTTAATTTATGTCGAGGAAAAAAAGTTCATATTTTACGATCAGAATCTATATTTACTACAAATACTAAGATAAATCATAAACCAAAGACAGGGTTTCATTAAAAAACACGTGTGAAAATGTACCCCCATGCAAGCGAAAAGCGTCAAGTGAAGTAAGTGCGAATATGAAACTAGACACGAGATAAATTTTGGCATATTCATTGTTATTGCATACAATTTGAATAGAACAAGCACTCAATCACAAAATAAAACGAAATAATCCAAACCATATATATATATATATATATATATCTCAATTTAAATACAGAAAGATATATAATTAGTGTAATCATACGAGGAGGAAGAATCAAGCCATCTTGCACTCAGGGGGAGCACCTTGAGGAGACCTCTTCCTATCGGTGCAGTAGTTGTAAACCATGTACCTACTCTGCACCCATTTCATCCTGTTCTTGCCATTGAAGTCGAGTTCTTGACTGAACCACGGTTTGTTAGCCGGACAAGACGATCTTCCGCTGGACCAGACACACCCGTTTGCGTTGTAGTTCCTGTGAAGAACGGACAATTTCGGTTAATAACCGAATGACCGAACTGAATCTGGATATAACCGAACATAAACCCCTACCTGTAAGAAGCGGTAAAAGGGGCACGTGACCAGTCTATCTTGACAAGACCTCCTCTCGTGGCCCATTCATCGGCTTCCCAAAGGCTCGCGTATAGCCTCATCGGTTGGTTCTTGGGGAATGGGACTCCGATTGATTCCAAGTTCTTGAACTCTCTGATCGGGATTCCATCCACAGTGAAGCTGGAAAACGAAGAGAATCACATGTTATCATTTCGAGTTCACTGAGTACGAAGTTACACAATAGAGCACTTAATTATTTGATGCAAATAAGTAGGTTTGAAAATATGTACATAATTCTTTGGGGGTTCCAAGTGATGGAGTACGTGTGGAAATCGGCCGTTGGGTCGAACCAGAGATGGAACTGCTGCTCTTTGTCTCCTTTGCCTTGTGTGTAGACATTGGTGTGGAGAGTGTAGGGATGGCCACTGAGGTTGCCCAAGAACTCGAAATCGATCTCGTCCCAAGTCGCTCCCGGCGATTTCAGCTAAAAAATCATAATCAGTCTTTCGATATTTTATGTACACACCATATATAACAATGAAACAGATGATAAAAAGATCTTTACTTACATAGAAAGTGGTGACTGTGCCGGCAGAGTTACCAGGGACAAGCTTGATCTGCGCCTCCACCCTACCATAAAGAAACTCGTTCTTGGACTGAAAACCCGAGCCCGAAAACTGGTCGAGCGAGAGAGCGAGAAGATTCCCGTTCTCGAGAACCTTTCCGCGACCATTTCCCCAAGTTATCTGAACGTCACGTTCGAAGTTGCCCACAGAGGCTTCCAAAGCGTGAGTAGCCAACAGGGAGAGAATCAAGAACAAGAATCTTTGGGAGCAAGAAAAGGCCATTTTCTTGGTTCTCACAAAGCTTTTCTTTTTCTTTTTCTTTTTTATTTTTAATTTTTAATTTGCTGTTCCTGTGGTGGTGGAGAGATGCTTTGAGAAGTGAAGTATTTATAGTTGAAGTTTATAAGGGAAAGGAGAACCGAAGTTTCATGGTTGATCGATCGAAGTCATTATGAAAATTTCTTTGGGTCCTTAATTATTAATTAAGCTTAGCTGTTTTTTCTGTTACGTAGTCACATTATCTGGTTATATGTTTGTTCATGACCAAACGCGGTTTCGGTGGTGGTGACGAGATTCTGAGTTTGATTTTTTGCCGAGGTCCGGTCGATATAACCCCCATTTAATAATAATAATAATAATAATAATAATAATAATATAATAATAATAATATATGGTTGCATCATTATTTTGCCGTTAGAGATTTCGCCTGATTTCATCTTTATTTTATTAGCTGTAAATATTAATGATGTTCCAAGTATTATCATTTGTGAATTATTTGGGAATGATAAAATTATTACTTCTGCATGGTACAAAATTCTATATTTGTGTATTTCCTTAATATGAATTTTATTGATTGAATTATTTAACGACGTCTAACCTAAAACAAAAGGTTACTTCATCTAAATCTCAAATCTCCGACCAAATATGACTTTAACTCAACTGTCGTCCTTTAAACCGTTCGTCCGTACATAAACAATACAGGTCGGCTTCAGTGACATTTCAAAACTAAGAACATCAACTTTCGGACCAAAACTAAAGTTTATAGAATTCAAATTGATATTTCGTTTTCCTTTCCATCACAATGCCATATTACCTTACAATAAATTTCGCAATTACAAACACCATTTACAGACTATGTAACTATAAGTTCATTCAGACAATTTGTGCATTATCTACGAACTGGTAGAACTCTACAGCAATCTGCGACGCCCAGTTAATCGTGGTGCCGAAGAAGATCTCCCAGAAGAAAAGATCGAGAGCGAGAACGGATGAAAAAATAAGCAAAGCAAGAGTTTGGTACCGATTCAGCGGCCAACCCGAAACTTCGGCCATCTTCTTGAGGATCGGAAGCGAATTCGTATCAGAGTCCCTTCGGTTTGTGATTGACCAAGCGGTTATCCATCTCACCTGGGAAGGGACGAGATCGAAGTCTTCTCTTAGCCGCCTTCCTAAGTCGGGCATGTGGCCTCCGCCATAAAGAATCGCGATTCTGTTGTGACCCTCGTCCATTGCTCTTCTTAATGCCTCGGTGGCTGCTCGGTTTCTCTCTCCGATGATGACGGATTTCTCCTCTATCTCTGCAGTCGCTTGAGTGAATCTTCAGAGAGCAAAGAGCAAACAATATCGACGTGAGTTACACGAAAGATTTCAGCTCGGAATGGTGATATACAACAGAATGGATGAAGTATCATAAAACAGAATGAAGAAAAGCTGAATGACAGAATAAAATTCAACTTGGTTCCATCTTTTCCCGATCGACCATTTTATTATCTGCATGGATGCCCATCAGATAAGAACAAGTTTATTTTTTTTCCAAGCACTAACATAGCTTAAACAATTTTTTATGTCAACTATAGCATTTTTTTTTCTGGTAGATAGATTCAAAGCAGGGTATTAACTCAAGAGGAATCCGAGAACCAGAGAGGATTCTCGGGATTGCTTGACCTAAAGCCTGATGTCAATGGGACGAAAACTAAACCAAACAATGCAGTTGAAACTTCAAAGTGTAGGTATTGTCTAATTTAATAGGTATTTAAAAGAATGCTTACTCTGATGTCAAACGCTTCGCAAGAAAGACTTTCATGGCTGCACCAAAATCAAGCCGAGAAAGGGCTTCCCATTCAGGATACTCGGATGCCTGACTTCCAATGTCAGCACAAATGCCTCCGATAATGAGAAGACCCACGAGAGGCATAGGAAGAACCCGTGAGGCCCATAGAAGCTTGGACCTCAGAGGATCAAGATCATCGGGGATGGAAGCTGATTGCACTATTGCTTTCGTTGATCTTATAGTCATGTCCTTTGCAAATGAGAAGAAGCTTTCACCTTTCTCCAGCTGTATCAGGTTTGAAACAGGAACAAGATAGTTTAACCCGGCACTTCAACAGACAATTGTGCATACTCGATGCAATTAGTTCACTACACAAGATTTTCCACATAACACAAAACTGTCAAGAGGAAAAAAATAAATAAATAACCCAAAAGACTAATCGAAAGCAACAACAGAGGAAAACAACTACAGGTTTACGACAATGTAGTTCCATCTTCAAGGGTTTGGGTTGGGATTGCGGTGTATAATCGGCTTGTGTATGTAAGGTTGTACAGTTTTGGTGAATTGAAGTTACATACAATAAAACACACACACACACACGTGCGCAGTTGGTAATCAATTTTAGTGCTTCTCTTAAACAGAGAGGTTCTAATTTCAAGAATTAGCTGTGCACGAAAGGAAAACAAACCTGAAGAAACTTGAATGTCTCATAATCAAGATCAGCATGGTACCAATTCTTAGCCTGATAATCTAGACAGTCCAACTGAAAATCGAGTGTCAGTATCCTTGCCATCTGCCGCTGAATGCACCCTAAAATATTGAAGCCCCTCGAGCGTGAACTTTTAAGCCTCTTGGACACAGTCGGGTTCCTCCGATTCTCCAAGATTTCCCTACTCGCCACCATCTCATATAAGACACAGTCGTATGGCTCAAGCTCCTTTTGGAGGGTAGTAAAGTACCTGCAGAAATCGTTCGTCCTGATTCAGATACATACTTTGCAAGGTGCTACAATCTTATCACCATTTTCTATTGAACGCCATCTTACTGTGGAGCATAGAAAAACACCATCAATATGCATAACATCATCAATATATACATATATGTATGTGTATATGTGTTCCAAAAACCTATCCTTTGATAACCAATGACTCCTATGATGGCCAACACCATGGTGGGGATACAATCAACAGACGGAATCATATTAGAGGAAATAAAGCTAATCAACCAAAACAGTTTTCCTTTGAAAATACCATTTCATTCGATCTTGTTAATCTAACACAATATGACAAGAAATTTGTCTGTAAGATCTTTAGAACTTTCGGAACACAGTAAATGAAATAGACCTTCAGTACACTACAGCGCGCACACACGAAGAAGGAGAGAAACAATCGAATACTTACTGTTTATCGGCGATATGAATCGTCGAGACTAAATCTACCTGCAAGACCGAGAAGAAATCGATAATAATAAATACTCAGAATTGAATAAAATCCCTAAACGGAACGTAAAATTTCCAATTCAACAAATGAAGTGGCACCTGAAAAAAGGGCTTGAGGATTGACCAAGGAAACTTTTTCCGGTAACTGACGACGGCGGTCTGCAACTCGCCGGTGCCATTTCCACCGGCAGAGCCACCGCGTTTGAACCGCATGAAATCGGCGATGGAGTTGTACCGGAGAAACTGGTCAGCGTCGGAGACATCATCGACCGATTGATTCGGCGAAGACGAGAGAAGCACCTTAATCCAATGGGATTTTGAGGGTTTCTTAGACCTGTGTCTCGGTACCGGTAATTTTGCGAAGCCGATGAGCCTCGAAGATGAAGACGATGACGACGAATCTGAGGTAGAAAAGGAGCGAAACGAAGGGAGGACGGCGAGCGAGCTTGCCGCCATGGCTACACACTCTCCTCTCCTCTGGGATGAAGATGTGGATTTTCAATCCAGAGGTGGTTTTTTCCCTTCTTTTATTTGTTTTTAATTTTTCAGATGTTATTTTTTTTCGTGATTAAGAAATCGAACCACGAGATATTTGGGCATATCGGTTTAATTTAACCAAATCAAACCGAAATATCGTTACTCGGTTTAAACCGGTTCAGTTAGATATATATGCTATGAAATTAATGACGTAAACTAATGAAAATTTCAAAATTACCAAATATAATTATATTAATACACTATAGATTTAAAATTTCAAAAATATAAAAAAATACATGAATGTTAAAATATTTTCCTAAATTTATAGTGTACTATGTCAATTAAAGGGAAAAAATAAATAAAACTTCGGGAAATAATCTAGGTGTGGACGATAACATAATTCAGTTTTGTAATGACCAGAGTCGGTGCTAGGATATAGATACGTAGCAATTCTCATCGATATTGAATCTAGAGGTGAGGTCAATTCATACACATTTATGGTGGTTCTGTGGAAAAAGCGACAAATTCATCTTCAAAATCTTGGGTTCGATTCTACTAGTGAAAAAGGATGTAATTTTCTAGATTAAAATGATCCATATACAAAGATTGGTTTCAGATATAAGGGATGTAATCGGGTTAAAGGTACGAGAATGTAAAAAAAGAAAAATTCATGCACATTTAGGTAATATATGGTAAAAAAAAATAACAGCATTAATTTGATTGTATTGGGATGAAATTGTAAAATTGAAATTATATTGGTATATTCGACAATAAAGAAAACTATAGGGACTCAAATACAATCAAAGCAATAAAAGTGAAACAGGAGTAGAATCAGACATTGCAAACGAGGTGCTCTCTCTTTCTTTCTCGTTCAGTTGCCGCCGTTGATTTTCCGGCAGCCGGAACGCCTTCGTGCCTTCACCGTAGGTCGGAAGACTCCGCTTCTTCGTTCGACTGTTTTCATCCTTTTAAGCGGCGGAGCGAACACCGTCTGAGTTAGCGGCGCCACCGAACTCGACGGAAGGCGGATAATCTGGGCAGACAGATCCGATTTGGTTTAGTTTTCTGGCTCCATTTGTCTGAACTGACCAGCTTCTGTCGATTCATGGAACTCTGAGTGAAGAGTTGTACTTCTCCGACCAATTCTGTCAACTCCCCGGTGGTATGATTAAGTTTATGCGGCGCTTCAGAGCCGTGTTTTCCTTAATTTCATGTCGAAAGAGCAAAGCTATGAGGTCTTCTGTGATCGATCAATTTCGTTCAGCGGGCGGTGTTTCAGGCTTATACAGATTGACGTGCAAGAACGATGTTAATGTTTCTGTAAAACTACAAAGGAGACATTTTTCGAGTTCCGGACACGATGAAGAAGGTAGGAAGCTGTCGAAGATCAACGAGGAACAGCGTCTCATGGGGTAGGATTTTTTATTTTGCTCTTTGATTTCTCTGCGAGGTTCTCAAAATAATCTAAAGTACTCGTTTAGAGTTTCTCTAATGTTCCGTGAATGATATGAGAATTTGGTGTTTGCATGTTGCTGCTATTCTTCCTTCTTTCTTAAGTGTTTATGTTGTTTGAAATGGATCAGTTCATTAGCTAATTTCCCGATATAATTCTTAGAAGAATAGTCCAAATTTGATAACTTATATTGTTAGTATGAGCGGATGATGAAATAGAGGAAAAATAGAACAGGCATTTGCAGTTTTTGATAGATGTGTATGGATTGGAATTGAAGCATGAGCCTATCTTTGCCGACTTTGATGAATGATATGTATAGGCAGGGTGATATTAGTCATGCTTTCTCTTCTATATCCCGAGAAATGTTTCAGAAAGTGATTAAACTGACAATCCTTTCTTTTTATATCACTGTGATTGTCGGACTTTACAGGGGCGGGACAGTATCAAAGGCAAATGAGATCTCAAAAGTGGCTTCAGACATCAATATGTTCAGTGCTTTGTTAGATAGTTATGTCAAGGAAAAGAATATTGCTGCCATGTTAGAAGCTAGTTGCAGGCTAAAACAAGCTAAATTCCCTATGGACATTGTAATGTGCAACATCCTTTTGAAAGCACTTCTATTGGTAGGTGCATATGAAGAAGCCAATGCTCTTTACAGGGCGTTGCCAGAAATGAAGCTTACCCCAGATGCAACCACATATTCTGCGATGATCGATGGCTTTTGCAAAATGGGTCAGGTTGAAGAGGCACTTAAAATATTTGACGAGTTTAGGAAAAGCTTGGTTTCTTCAGCATCATGTTATATTCGCATCATTGATGCCCTCCGCAAGAAGGGGATGCTCGACACAGCTACAGAAGTGTTTGTTGAGTTATGCGAGAGAGGTCTGGATTTGGACATCAACATGTTTCATTCTTTGTTGTATGCGCTCCTCGGTAGGGAAGGTGAAGAAGGAATATTGAGTTTGGTTTACAGATTCGAATCTTTAAATTTGGACGTATCTGTCACAATATTGAATGATGCTATCTGGTTTTTATGCAAGAGAGGTTCTTTCGAGGCAGCCATTGAAGTTTATGCGGTTATTAGGAGGATTGGTATACCTGTTACAAGCGAGTCCTACTATTTGATTTTTACAGGGCTTCTAACTATCAAAGAAAAATCTTTAACCAGACCTTTGATGAGCCTTGCCGTTAAATTATATGCCATGAGAGAACCTATGGTAGGAAAGATGGTGATGTTCTTCTTGTGCTTGAAAGATACCAGTAAGGCCCTTGCATTTCTTAGAAAACTAAGAGAAAGCGAGTTAGATGTCTATTTTCCTTCTGCCGTTCTAAGGACACTAGTGAACGATCTCAGAGCATCAGATGCATATTTACTGGTAGTAAACTCTGACAATGATTTGCCTTTGGATGTGGTTGATTACACGATCATCATCGATGGCCTTTGCAAGGAAGGATTTCCAAGAAAAGCCTTAAACTTGTGCCGTTTCGCCAAATGTAAAGGTATCACGCTTAACATCCTCACGTATAATTCAGTCATACATGGATTGTGCCTTCAGGGATGTATTGTAGAAGCCTTCCGTCTATTTGATTCGCTAGAGAACCTGGGGTTATACCCATCTGTGGTAACATATGGCATACTGATTGACAATTTATGCAAAGAAGGTCTTCTTCTTGATGCTGAGAAACTCTTGAATGATATGGTTTCTAAGGGACTAGTTCCAAACGTTGTCATTCTTAACTCGATGATTGATGGGTACTGCAAGCTTGGGCAAATGGAGAATGCCCAGAGAGTTTTATGCCTCCTAAAGGCGAAAGGTCTAATGCCAGATGTATTCACTGTGAGCTCTATGGTCAAGGGATACTATAAAAGAGGTGACATGCAAGAGGCTATGCAGGTGTTTACCATGTTCAAGGGCGAAAATCTCTCGCCCGATTTCTTGGGTTATATATTTATGATCAAAGGATTCTGTACAAAGGGGCTAATGGATGAAGCATGGGGCCTTCTGAGAGAAATGCTTGTTTCAGAATCTGTTGTCGAGCTGATAGACAGAGTAATGCTTGTTTCAGAATCTTTTCTCGAGCTGATAGACAGAGTTGACCCGGAGGTTGAATCTGAACCGATCAAGAATATTCTCATCATGCTGTATGAGCAAGGAAGGGTTCTTGAAGCTCTGAAGATCCTGGAAGAGATATGTTCAAAATTCTTCCTGGATGGCGAAAGCTCAAGTTCTTGTCAGGGATCAAAATTCCTGGACAAGCCTTGTGAGTCTCCTGAGGCTGATGTGCATGAAAAAGATGAATGGAAGGAAGATTATCTTACAGATTTTCGGAATCTTCACTCTGTAATTAGCTCTCTTTGTTCCAGAGGGAAGATTAAGCAGGCAAACAAGCTTGTTAGGTCTGTGGTCTCGGGTATGCATAGATAGCTTGGAACATCACATTACCTCTCTTTTTAACAGCTAAGAGCTAAGTGCTTGCTTACACGAACTCTCATTGAAGGTAAGGTCTTTACATGTTGATTTAAAAATGTGTATGCATAAATGGACATATACACAATACATCACTTATATATGCGTTTCTGCACTTGTTATACATGTTTGCCCTTGTGTCTCTGTGTATACATGATCTGCTTATCTGTATTTGTTTTCTGTGAAGGACCCACACTAGAGCCTCTGGCTGAATCAGAGGAGCCCGGGTTTTCCTGGATGATGCCTCTCTTCAAGACTCTGTCTTTCTCCTCCACAGGTCCGGCTTGGCTTTTCTTGCTCATTCCTTTTCTGTCACCACAGTGGCATTGGTCAACTCACTCCAGACCACTGTGGTTTTCGCCCTGAGGAATCTCATAAAAGTTTAAATCTGTATCCTTGTGTTTCTAAAGTAATGTTGATGAAGGAGAAACTCAGGATACATGTCATTTCATCCCTTTTCTACGCCTTCCGGGTCAACTCATATCATCCAGGAAATTTCACTCTTCTTCCAAGAAAGCATACCCGGATCAAATCCCAGTGAAATCCAGCGGTTTGGGCAGCCAATCTCCATCAGAGCCTGAACCATGACTAGCTGTTTTCTTTCCAGTCTTCAGCTTCTCGATTTCAAGTCTGGTATTCCAACCTCTCTTTCTCATAAGGGTTTCGAAATTTAACTTCTCTCGGTATGCTCTGCGAATTGAATCATGATGTTGAGTCTTTCTCTCTCTCTCTCCCCCCTCCATTTACTCTCACGTAATTCTCATTTCAATCCTGCCAATGATTTAATTTTTTTCTCTTTCTCAGCAGCTGTTGAGTGATTATGCTGGAATATCGTTCTCTCACAGGCAACAGCACGGCCAGATCCTAAAGGTATGATTGGATCCCGGAAGTTATCTGTTCCTCCTTCCATAGGTTTATGCCGTGCATTTTCATAGCCTATTCAGATCCCAACCATATGATTGATTTTGGTTAGGACGTCACTCAGAATGCTTTTTGATAATCGTTGTATATAAATTTGCATTCGAATTCCTCTGACATTGGTTCTTTTAGCATTATTATCGAGAAAATGATATCACAATGGAACCACTTCGTTGCCATGCAAAAGTGTTCCTTTTTTTTAAAAATTTCGGCCGAGTGAGCAATTTTAATCTATAAAAACCGTGGGATTCCGTTTTGATCCCCTAGTTTGCTCTCGACTCCAAGATTAATCTGGATCTTGGCACAGTACACCCAGTTATCTAAAAAAAACCGGTTTTGATCCATGAAAATGTTTATTCAGAAAATAATTTTCGGTATTGGATGCATCAAGTAGCCACCAAAATATTTTTACTAAGAAAAAGTAGCCACCAAATAGGGAATAATAAATTGAAATCTCCGACTCATGCATGGATATGGGCCACGGAAAAAAAATATGCAACCACTGCAAAAATCAGAATCACGTTTATTTAGATCAACCTGTAACCTCAATTTACAAACGCGGAATTCGGTCTTATGATATAAAACTTATGTTTGATGTAAAGGCTCTTCTTGGTTTGAAAGACGATCCAAACAACATGCAGGTTTCTTGGGTTTCATTCGTATGGAGATATTTTTTATTCACGTATTTTTTTTTGTTAATTATTTATTCACGTATTTTGCATGCATCATATAAATGATAAATCAAATAGCCACGGAAAATTTGAAAAAAAAAAAATTGAATTGAAAATCTCGTCTCATGGAAATATACGGGCCATGGAAACAAAAAAAAAAAATAAGCGTGGCAAAATCTGCGCCCACATAAAAATCAATGAATTGCAAAGGAAGTGGTGGAACAGCCTCATACACATTTATTTATCCAATGAAATCTATTTCTGATCAAATTTTGTGGATAAGAATCTCTGTCCGCTCTCACGCATTGCACTCCACCACACTCCGACACAGAAGTTTCTTTCTTTTTTTTTCCTTCTTTTTATTTTCTTGATTAAAGAAACGTAGTCTATACATATGGTCCGTTCGTGCCCCTGCATGTAATTTCTTCCCTGGAAACATCATGCTCTACTCAAAGACTCCAGATTTAGCTCTGCTTCTTGAGGTTCGTGTAGAGAATTGTATCGTGTTTTTGGATGTTTCGTGTCATTTTGCAAATGGGTTTCCGATTTCATGTCTTGATCTCTCTCTGCTAGTTTTTTTTTTTGTTTTCTGAATTTCTATGGCAGGCCCATCTCTTACCCGTCGAAAAGACTCGGAATCTGCCTCTCTTTCTTGAGTTTTACGTCGATCATTGAGTCTTTTTTGGATTATACTTCCTGTTTCGAGGATGGGTTTTTGAAATTCAGACGAATTTCTTGTTCTTGTTGATGATGATCTTTCTGGCTGTTTTAGATCGTTTTGCTTCTTTGGGTTTCTTCCCCAATGATCTTAATCTTGGATTTGAATACTGTGTTCTTCTCCATTCACGCTTCCCTCCATGGAGGAGAGCATTTCTTGTCTTTTCATGTCTAGTTGCTCGAACTTGTTCTCGGAAGATTGAGCGTTGAATCTTTAATTAAGGTCTCCTCCTAAATCTAGGGTTCAATTCCATTCCCTGCAAATTGTTGTTCATCAGCACAAAGTTTGATGATGTTATCTGATTCTGCAGTTGGATTTTGTATGTTGCCATGATCCATAGAGTTAGATTTGTCTGTTGCATATCACCTTTTAGGATAGTTTTGGAGAAGGAACTTCTCCGTTTAGATAGCTGAAAAGTCAGTGACATTGGCGTATATGCATTTCGGACAATGTGACATACATCGATGAATCCTCGACACTCCTCAGCATTCCTTCACTATTCGTCGTGGTTTGCTATCAATTCCGGCGTTCTATCGTTTTTTCATGTGTTCAACAACCTATTTGATGACTTCAATCTCTGACCCGATGGCCTTTTCTTGGATGGTTTTCATTGTATCATGCAGAAGGAGATCTTTCCATTGCCTTAAAGTCGAAAGGCCTAGATTTCATAGAAATCTCTATTTGAGGGTTTACCACAATGGGTAAGCATCGGGAAGGAACAACGATGAGCAAGAAGGCGAATGAAGCACCGATGGTTATGGAAATGGTACCTCACCCTATCTTTATAATCTTGCTTTCATGGAGTTTCCATTATCAACTGATTATTATAGCTTTATATACACCTTCTATATGTAAAAACGTGATCTCGTGTGATCTTTCCTGCTCGGAATATGTCCTGATTCGATATGTATGGATATACCGTCGTGTTCAATGAGCTTAGTTGTGTGTAAGAACGCATTGGTTTCATTTTGCAGGGATCAATTCTGAATGGGAGAGCAAAGGTGAGTTCAACTCCTGCCTCGGGAGATTTCCCGACCCTGAAGGGCTGCCTTATCTGTTCTGGTGGTAATGCATGTGGTACTGTTCGTTCAAGAACCAAACTGATGAACTCGTTGATAGAACGAGGGAAACCTCAAGAGGCTCATTCCATATTCAACGCTCTTATAGAGGAAGGCCACAAGCCGACCGTCGTCACATACACTGCTCTTATATCCGCCTTGACCCGACAAAAGCGCTTTGACTCCGTGCTCTCTCTCATCTTCAAAGTAGAGAAAAACGGTTTGAAACCCGACGCCATTCTCTTCAATGCAGTGATCAATGCCTCTTCTGAGTCGGGAAATCTCGATCAAGCGATGAAGATCTTTCAGAAAATGAAGGAAAACGGGTGTAAACCCACAACAAGTACGTACAACACGATTATTAAGGGGTATGGAAAAATTGGTAAGCCCGAGGAATCCTCGAGGCTTCTCGAGACAATGTTACTGGACGAAACACTTCAACCGAATGACAGAACATATAACATACTCATCAGAGCTTGGTGTAACAAGAAGAACATCGAAGAAGCTTGGAATGTTGTCTATAAGATGATGTCATCGGGTATCCAACCCGATGTTGTCACGTTTAACACAATGGCAAGGGCCTATGCCCAAATCGGGTTGACATACAAGGCCGAGGAGATGATACCGAGAATGTTGAGCAGTAAGATTGTACCGAATGAACGAACTTGTGGTATCATTGTGAATGGATATTGTAAAGAGGGAAACATGGCAGAAGCTTCGAGGTTTGTGTACAGAATGAAGGAGCTCTGTGTTAATCCGAACCTCGTCGTGTTTAACTCTCTTATCAAAGGATTCCTCGACATAGCTGACAAAGATGGAGTCGACGAGGTATGTATGCATCATGGCATTGTTGGGTTAGGGTTGGCCGTTTCGCCTTTCGGTTCGGTTATATTTGGGTTCAACTGTGTTGGCTTTAGAAGTGTTGGCTTTAGAAAACCTATAAACATTCGGTTTTTATATTGACTCGGTTCGGTTCTATTTCGGTTTGGATTTAGTTACGATTATGTGTTATTCTATTCGTATCAGTTTGGTTCTCGAACTTGCATAACTTCATCTCGTTATGCATATCATATATATCACACAAAACAAATGTATAGATTATAAAATCATATGCATTTTTTGATCATTATACCGAGACTAGGAAGTAATCCGTGGTTTTAACGTACGATGTTCTTCAATCTGGCAGGCACTGACACTGATGGAAGAATTTGGAGTAAAGCCTGATGTTGTTACGTTTAGCACTATAATGAATGCATGGAGCTCGGCGGGATATATGGACAAATGTGAGGAAATCTTCAATGATATGATCAAAGCTGGGATAGATCCCGACATCCATGCATTCAGTATCCTAGCAAAAGGGTATGCTCGGGCCGGAGAACCTAGGAAAGCCGAGCAAATTCTGGCTCTGATGAGCAAGTCTGGCATTCGGGCAAATGTGGTAATCTTCACTACAATTATAAGCGGTTGGTGCAGTGCCGGGAAAATGGAAGAAGCGATTAGGGTTTATCACGAAATGCGGGGGAACGGTTTGCGGCCGAACTTAACGACCTACGAGACTCTAATATGGGGATATGGAGAGGCGAAACAGCCGCGGAAAGCGGAAGAGGTTCTGGAAATGATGGAGGAGGGGGGTTTAACTCCGTCGAAGAAGACGATACAGCTCGTATCCGACGCATGGCGAGCCATCGGTCTGTTGAACGAGGCGAAGAGATTGGCGAGAACTTCGCAGAATGGCACGGAGAGTTCATCGAAGGCCGAGAATAGTGGGACGACGAAAATGGTTTTCGAGAATCGGCTCGGGTCGGATTCCTTGACAGCCAGAACAAGAACAAGAAGCCGAATGGTGTTGAATCTTGTTGCCAAATCCGGGTTTTGCATGAGAACGAGAGGCTTTGTCGGGGTGAAAGCCATGATCGAGAAACCAGGGAGGTTTGTAAATTCGTGTAGATTAGTGTTCTTACACTGAACAAGAACGGTCCAAAGGCATTGATGGTTTTGTTTCTTGAAAGATGTAGATAATTAAGACAGAACCCTGTCTTTGAAAATGGGCTCTTTTCTTTGTTTCTCTGTAATGTTTCCAATCATTTTTCTATTAAAAAAAAATGTAATAGACAAAAATTGGTTTTTTAAATAAAATCCCAAATTTTAATTACAGAATTTTTTTTTCGAGTGTAGAAAATAAATCGGATTTATATCATACTATTAAAAAATATAGATTTTTATATGGATAGTAGGTAATTTATTTTTACCATTTAAAATGTTCCATTGTTGATCTTGGTTTTGAATTTAAACTGCTTTTATCATGTTAATTCCGTTTAATTAAAACATAAAACCCTGAAACCTTCGCCTCTTATTATACATAAAACCCTGATTTTCCTTTTTCTTAAATTCAATTGTCCGACCGAGGAATCTCTTCCCCGCCGTAAAATCGCTTCCTCCCTGACCACCAAGACTCCGTCTTCTTCCGAATCCGAAGACGATTCTGGCCATTGTAGGGTCTTTTTCCTTCCAACTTTTCTCGCGGGTTTTCGATGAAGCGGAAGCTGAAGACGCCGGAAGGAAGCTCAAAGAAGACGAAGAAGAAGAAGGTCCTTGAGATTGACGAAGAGAGTCCATGGGGGAATCTGGAGTTGATTCTCTCTCTTCAGGACAGGGAATTGGCTGTCGAAAAGTAAGTAGTTTTCTTCGCTTCATCGCTCTGCTTCTTGATGTTTACATTCATGTAAAGCTTGCGGGTTATTAGAAATATTCCCTCAGGTATTTGGAAGAATATGATAAGCGTGACGCAATGGTTGTCGACTTGGGAAGATTGGTGAATTTATTGTCGATATGATTATCGTTGTGATTCCAAGTGCTTTTAGTCTTGTTTGCATATGGTTTCTGGTTTAGTTGTGGGATTAGTGTTTTTCATATTGAGAGGTTGTATAAAGGTCTCTCCGTTTAGAATCATGATGTTTTGAATTCCAGAATTTGGAAATCATCAGTTGGGGAAATTCACAATAGTCATTACAAGGATGAAAGGTTTTGTGATTTTGTGATTTGGGTTTCTCTGTTTTTTGGTTGGTGTGATGTTTTTTGTTCTTTTTATGCGTAAAAAATAGAATTTTGAAAAAGAATGGGAATGTCAATGCAGGAAGGTGGATTTGGCATTCGGTTTTGTGAAAGAACAGGTGGGAGAAAGGAGTAATTACAAGGATGAAGAATGCGAGGCAGTTTCGATGTCACGGCTGATAGTTTTTGTTAGTGATTGGATCCAATCACTGCTAATTTCTTCAGGAAAAAAGTCCAAAGCTGACGGTGATATTGATATTGACCCATGTTTGGACGTAAGATGCTGGGAGATTTTCAAGTTCTGCTTGAGGCAGTCACCGGTTTTGCACGTCTCGTTGAATGTTTCAAAAAATCTTCTAAAGGCTATTGGTTATGTCGCCAAAAACCTTTTATCTTTACTAAATATGTCCGCGGCCTCCGAAGAAATTTTTACTGGTCAAGGGTTTGAAGTTTATAGTTCAGTGGTTGCTTGTATAGGCTTGTTGTTTTCATCTAAAAGCGGTCTTTTGAATGACAATTTAGACTTATGGTTTTCAACTGTGGAACCAGTTCTGAAGCTCACGCATAAAGTTCTTGCAGAAAATATCGAGGATGGTCTTGCTGGTGCATTTGTTCTCCAATTCTCTTGCTTCGTTCTTGAGCCATTTTCTGAGTTTTTGAGGGTTCATCCAACTAAGAAGAATGGGTTCCGTGATTTTCTGGACAAGCTGTTGGAGCCCCTCTTGGATGTATTGGGTTTATTGCATCTCCAAATTGATGGCAACAAAATTACTTCCGAGTCTGGAGTAACTTTGCTGAAGTTTATTCATGAAATTTTATCTCATGGTTTGTTTCATTCTGCTCATATTGATGGGTTTTTAGGCTTACGTGGGACTGAAAAGTACGCGCCATCTGAGGATGGGAAATCTAATGAGAAGAAAACAGTTCTTATAAGTTATCATCGGTATTTATTTGCCAAGTTGGAGAGCATTTTAGCTATGAAAAAAGATTTGGCACTGAGTTGTGTAGGGGATTTGTTCAGCTTGTTTGTCAACCGAGTGACAACACAGCTAAGGGCTTCCAATCAGTTGGAGGAAGGCAGGATTACAGCAAGAACTATGGTTTCAACTAGAAATCAAACAGAAGAAGAGCCACCAAACCGGATGCATAATGACAGATTCGGAAATGATATTGAACCCTCTCATTTATTGAGTTCCCTCAGTGCAGAGACACGGAAATCCATTTTTGATTTCTTCCTACATCTTATGGAGCCTGCAGTGCTTGAGATGGATAATTACATTGAGTCTGGCTCAGAAATGGCAGATGATATCTATTGTGTACTTAAGTCTTCCAACATTTTGCTGTCCAGCCTTGCTCGTGAAAGAATATATGTGAGAACAGAGGATGCATCCAAAGGAGCTTGCCTTTGCTTCCTGAAAAAGATCTTTACGACATTAGTTTCAATTGCTTCCCAATTATTGGAGGGTTATACCAATGTTGGACAGTCACAGGTGTTTGTTTCATCAGCCAAGGAGCTGATAACTGCAATAGGCCACTTGTTGGAAATTGAGTATGAGGTCATTGAGAATGATTTAGTTAGTCTGTGGCTAATTATTCTCTTGTTTTTGGAGATTAGTTCGTCACCAGAGAATTCAGATAATGGATGCCTTTTGACCTCGCAGACAGTTGCCCTTGGATGCCAACTGATTAACTTATTTAGTGATCTTCGCCAGGTCTGTCAAATTTTTATACCTGTTATTACATTTACTCAGTCACTATCAATACCCGATTGCTGCTCTATTTATTAATACTGGATCAATTTCATATTCATTCTTTTGAGCCATTTCATGATAATTGTTTGATCTCATGCTGTTATGCTAACATAGTCTCATGCTTATTTTCCTTAATCTAGGTAAATAGTGTTGTATATGCACTATGCAAGGCTGTAAGGCTTATGTCGTCCCGTGATGGTTATGATGGAGAAATGATCAACACAAAATTTATTCCACCATCAAATTTGGTTCTTTTCAAAAACGGTGCAAAATTAGTGAAAAGGCTCTTCTCATCTCAAGATTTTAGACTTGCTATCCACAAAGCTATTAAGTTGATATCCGAAGGCCAAGCAAGTGGTTGTATAAAGAGCTTGACAACGGATATGTCAGAAACGACTGAATGGATCAAAGTCAGTTGCACAAAAACTGCTAGAGAAGAAGCTGTATTGGCTGTTGAACTCTTGGCAGGAGCTTTGTCTGAGATATATTCCCTTATTCTTGACTCACTAACTATCACTGCAGGGAATAGTATTCTTGTTGGACTGTCCATAAATAATCTGATGGATGTCATCCGTCCTCACTTAAGCTGCCTGGTTTCTTCAGACCTAGATTGCATCGAAAAATTCCTTTGTGCCATTACAGGGAAACGTTTGGACACTTTGATAGCTGAAAAGAAACGAAAGATTAATGTAAAGGCGGCCCGGTTATATATATTCTTCTTCATCCGTATTTACATGTCCTGTAGAAACTTATATAGGCAGGTGATCAGTCTTATGCCTCCAAAAAATTCAAAAGAGATGGCTAAAATTATGGGAGACTCAGTTACAGCATGCTGTGGAAATGATTGGGTGAAAAGGATGGGTTGGAATGATGAAGGTTACTTTTCGTGGATTTGCCAACCTTCAGCTTCAGTTCTTGACACAATCAAACTAATCTCAGATGTTTATCTTAAGGATGACAATGCAGATTGCTGCTTGCTGATATATACACTGCATGGTCTGGCTCTTCAAAGACTTGTTGATTTGAATAGACTTGTGAGATCGCTGGTTTATGTGTTACAGACGAGTGATAATCAGATGCAGGATAAAATGCTGGATGAAGCTGAAATCTCACGTTTGAGAAAAAAGAGTAAAAAATTGACCAAACGTCTTTCAGTTCTCAAGCGTGAAGGAGAAGACCTTGTTGACTACCTGCTGAGTTTCATCGCATCAGACTTTGACAGTGAAGAAATTGCCAGAGCAATAGACAAAACTGACCCGTGGGGTGTCAGGATTTCTGTCATTGATAAGAAATCACTGCCTTCTGTACTTTGGTGGATCCTCAGTCAACACATAGATGTTTGGTGCTCACATGCTGTAAAAAGGAAGTTGAAGGATTTCTTGTCATGGATAATCCATGCTTCCATTCCTTCCATGTTGAAGATAGAGAATATGGGTGCTGTGGTTGAGAGTGATGTTCATGAAGACACTCGGAAGAAGAAAATAGGGGTGCAACATATCTCTTTAGAACTTATTCATGATTCTGCTCTATATGAACTTGAAGTAAGAGAACGGACCCTAAACTATTGTCTTTTTATTTTTCTGTCACTCATGTGCAGAATTAGATTACATGATAATAATTGGAGCATTTTGTCTAGTTTGTTCGCAGATATTTGGGATCAAGTTTTTCTCGCATATTGGAGAATACGGCACTAGAACTTTTCAAGGAAGTTGCAAAACAAGAAAGAAACTGTAATTCATCACCAGAATGGGCTGAGGTTTTAGTCTTGCTTGAAAGTTTAGTTGCTAGTTTATCTGGTGAGCCACAATCAGAAACTCGGGTGGAAGAAAATGCATCACAGTTAAACTGCATGAAGTTCACAGCATGTCGGAATTTGCTGAATCTTTTTTGCCGGATTCCCAGAGAATATATGACAAAAAAATCACTCCAACAGTGCACCAGTCACATTCTCTACATTGAGAGGTAACTGACAGCTCATCTCATGTATAATCTTACTGCATAGAATATTAAGAAGATTTCTCTCATTCTTTGATGCATTTAGGGTCATAATTTTTCGACGATTTGACAGAGATTTTCTAATTGCTCTAATTATTTGTCAACTTTCATTATAGGTCTATAGTGTTTGGTATGTTGAGATGCCAACACAAACTCTCTCCTGGTGACGAGCAAATTCTTTTCAGCCTGTTTATCACTTGCAGGAGAACATTGAAAAGTATTTTCATGACATCTTGTGGCAAGATGGTGGCAGCGACCAAGTTGCCTTGGTCTGATGGTTCGTTATTAGCCTTGTGGCTTTTGAAATCTGTCCAGGCTGCAGTAACATATCAAGGAACGTTTACTAAAGAGTTTACGAGCAGAACAAGGGACTGCATTGTTTCTTTGATGGATCACACATCCTATATATTCTTAACATTAAGCAAATATCAGTTCAGCAAGGCAATGCCTCTGTTTATAGCTCCCAAGAATATGTCTGGTGAACAACCTGCTTCACAAGAACCGTTTGAGGAGGAGAAGGGTATGAACGTATTTGATGATCACCATCTGGATGACTCTGCAACATGCGAGGACAGTAGACAGGTGATTCTTCTTCTAGAGAGTTTGACAAAGCAGGCTGAAAGTCTATTTATTTCTTTCAAGGATGAACTCAGAGATGGAAAACCAGTATTTGAATGTGAGACTCTGACACTTAACAAGATAGCTTCTGTTTTTGGCTGCTTTGGTGGATTGTTGTGGGGACTAGCATCTGCTGCAAGTGAAAAAGATATGCAGAAAAGTCATCAGAAAACAAAATTGAAATGGAAATTGGAACCTCTCTCCAAGCTTTCCTGTAGTATCAATGTGCTCAGTAATTTTATTCAGTTTTTTATGCACTATTTGTTTCAAAATGGTGGTTTGAAGCCAGAAATTCAAACTGATGCTGACTGGGGCCAGTTGATAGCCAATGGAAAGGATTCAAATAGTCTTGTAGAAATCAACCTAGAGGTGACTGAAGATGTGAAAAAGCGTGTTCTTGAGAGCTTAATAAAGGACGATTCTTCCGAGGCAGCATTAGTTCTCAGGCAGCTATTAATTACCTCTGCTGCTGTTTTAAGGCTTAATATGCATGTAGATGGCATTGCCCTGTCACCTAATTTAGTCTCTGTTCTCACGGGCGTTTCTTATGTTCTATTATCCAGCTTAGCAGACGTGACAGGGGCACCGAAAGAGTTCTCGTTCATTTGGTTGGATGGTGCACTGAAATTTCTAGAAGAACTCGGGAATTATTTCTCTTCATCCAACCCTGCATTGGACAGAGATCTGTACTCAAAGATGATCGAGTTGCACCTAAAGGTGATTGGCAAATGCATATCTTTGCAAGGAAAAGAGGCTACCTTGGCATCACATGAGACAGGGTTTGGTACTAATGTTGTCCATGCTAAGAAAGTTTCATCAGAAGACAACCTATCTAATACTTTGCATTGGCTGGATGAGTTTAAGGAGAGGTTGAGGATGTCATTCAAAGCGTTCATACAGAATTCCTCGGAGTTTCACTTCTTGGCTGGAATACAAGCTATAGAGAGGGCACTGATCGGAGTATGGGAAGTATGCCCAGCTATCTATAAAATACAGACAGGAAATAGAGATGGTGGTAAGATCTCCTCAACAGCTGCTGCTGCTATTGACTGTCTGGATCTAATTCTTGAGCATGCTTCAGGTGAAACACGCTATCTTCCACTTTCCTGCAGACATCCCTTATCTAGTTTAAATTCCTTATACTTTGTTTCCATATTCTCCATTCTCCAACGTATATATTTGACGCCGTCAACCTAACATTAAAAAGATTTATTTTCACATTATTTGTTTTTCTTTTATCATCCTGGCTGGGTTTGATGAAATCTGTGGTTGAATTTTCTCTTGTCCTATTTTTTTTTTTCTGAATACCGATTTTGTTGTAGGTCGCAAACGTGTGAACGTGGTGAAAAGGCATATTCAGAGTTTCGTTTCTGCAACTCTTAGTATCATCGTTCACTTGCGGAGTCCATTTATTTTCTTTTCAAAGCCAGTCTGCAGTCATGGTCTTCATTATCCAGATCCCGGGTCAGTCATACTCATGTGTGTCGAAGTCCTGACAAGAATCTCAGGAAAACACGCGCTTTTTCAGATGGAGGCCTGGCATGTAAGCCAAACCATACATATGCCAGGAGCACTTCTTCTGGATTTTCTTCAGGTGACCAGCTCGGGACTTCCAGTTTCGAATGGAAATTTATTATCCCGATGTGACCATCGACAAAATCGGATTCAGAGCTTGAATAACCTTCACATGGACCGAGAATTCTCGATAAGTTTGTATGCCGCATCCTGCAGGTTATTATATACCCTTGTGAAGCATCATAAGAGGTGGGTATAATTTCTGTCATCCTGATTTCTACTCCGTGTAAGATCTGAAAACGAAATCCTGTTACATTGTGTTCTCTTACAACTGATGTCATACTGCAAACTCGTTGCCACTTCCAGCCAAACAGAGGGATGCATTGCCACACTTCAACAGTCGGTATCTGCGCTCCTTCATTGTTTGGAGAAAGCCAGAGATGAATCCGGTAATCATCTCTCGTTGAAAGTCGAAGAGGGAATTCGATGTGCTTGTTTTCTTCGAAGGATCTATGAAGAGGTACCAACTCATTCTGTTTCGTCGAGTTTTTCTGCTAAAGCTACAAAAATATGTGCTTGCTTTTCTGACTGTTGCCCATGAACAACTTGGTTGCAGCTGAGACAGCAGAAAGAAGTCTTCAAACAACACTGTTTCAAGTTCTTGTCGACTTACATATGGGTTTCTTCGGGAAATGGTCCCCTTAAAACGGGTATCAGAAGGTGATGATGTTCTGTCAAACATAAAGTTTTCGGTTTTCTTACGCAAATAAGTCTTTAACATTTCAAAAACACGTCATCATTCTTGATTTGCAACTTTTATCAGGGAGGTAGATGAAGCTTTGAGACCCGGTGTTTATGCTCTTATAGACTGTTGTGAACCGAATGATCTCCAGTATCTGCACACCGTATTCCACGGTAAGTGATTAGATCAATACTCTCTTCTCTTTCTTTACGGGTTGAGCGTAATCTATGTCGGGTTTGACGCTCGGTTTCTTTTCGTCCTCAGAAGGGCCTTGTAGAAACACACTGGCAGCTCTGCAACAAGAGTACAAGTTGAATTTCAAGTATGAAGGAAAAGTATGAGTAACAACAAGCATTGGCACTTGTCATGTGAGCATGGACATCATCATCATATAGTCGCTCCTTTTACCATCATGCCGGGTAAGATCCATGTTGGTTAGGTTCTATAAAGGATACGATTATATGGGCGGCCGGGGAAAGTTTTGTGAAATCTTTCGTGGTTTCGGTTGTTGTAACTTTATGGATCTTTAGAATCCTATCTTCATGAAAAGGATTTCAAGTCTCTTTCAGCATTTCTTTGAACCAACCCTCCAAACAAAATTCTTACAAGGCATCAGTAGGTAACGAGCCAGCTCGGGTTGGATTGGTGCGAGCTGCCTCGTTTTGGATTCGGCTCCGGCTCATGGCGGTTCATTTTCCACTGGAGTAAAAAAGATCCGGTCCTAACTCAACTCGTATAGCTCGCGGACCGATATGCTCAAATAAAAATTTGATAGGATGTTTTAATTATTAATTAATTCCTTTAATTCAACGCACTATTATGAGATTTACATGGAGAGACATTTCCATCGAAATCAAAATGTGTAATAAAAAGATAAGTCGGCTACGTGTACGTACATGCCTCCAACTAAGCTCTTTCCAATTCTAGCCAGCCTTTGACTTTGATTAATAATAATAATAATCACGAATCTGATTTTAAGATTATACTTTGTTTTAATACGGTCCAATCCAATCCCGTCAACTCCTTTATTAGTCTTTTTTTTTTTATTTTATAATATCATTTTAGTTTTTTCTTCAATGTTCATATTTCTTTTGTCGTGCTTTTTGGTCTATATACATAAAAATTTCATCTGGGTAATTTTGTATGAATTTGATTTGTAGAAAGAAACTCGATAAAAATTTGATTAATAAAGTTTACATTTTTTATGATGATTAATCTGAGCAAAGACGCAGTATTTCATGCTGTTTTATATTTTAATAAAGAAAATTTAAAATTCCAGTTATCATTGTATCCAAATGTTTGGTCTGATTAATCATTCCATTATTTGAGCAAAGCACTCGACCTCCGGTTAATTATCCGGTTCCATTTTACTAAAAATGATAGAACACGAGATAATTATTGTTTATTATATATTTTTATTACAGGAAACGTTTTGCCCCAACTGCCGCTCCACTCTCTCTCTCCAAAAAAAACATGCACCGCACGTTGTCGGGCAAGCCCTAAAAGAACTGCACAAACCCTTCACGATTTCGCCCATTTGAAGAAAAAAAAACACCCAAAAAAAGCGAAGAAATAACAAACAAAACCTAATCTCCATTCAACAAACATCTTCCGAT